AACAGACGACGCACACGGCGGCCTGGATATTACGATAAGCAACTCCAAAAGGCAGATGAGCGACGCAAAGAGGCAGAGGAGAGACAGAAAGAATTCCAGCGCAGACGCGAAGAGCGAGAGCAAAAGATTGCCCAGCGGGAGCGGTTCAAGAAGGCCATGGCCAAGACGAGGGATCGCGACGGCAAGAAGAAGCTTGGAAGGGAGAGCAGCATCCTCCTCGACAAGGTCCGGAGGATGGTTGCTGACAAGTGAAGATGCCGGGAGCTTTCGAGTTGGATTCGGGGATGGGTTGTGGTACTCTTCGTTATTACAAGTTCTGCATGGCATCACTGATGTGGGCGTTTACAAGGCTAGATAATTTGTGTCAATGGCTTAGATAAAAGTTGACTGATACCAATTCTCCGCCCATGATCTCTTTGTTCCGAGATATCTATTTGGGCATGTTGCGTGCGATAGTCCTGGACAAATTGATGCTCGGGCGTCCGCGTGTTTAAAGGCTTCATCACCACAATCACGCCAACCTCGGGAATTCTGATCACGACTAGTTTGAAATGAGTATGTTCATTGTTTCGAGCGAGCAGTATTGGGATTTTGTGCACAGAGGAGTAGCTTCATCCGAAATAGCGGAGTTGCTATGGAGGCCGTGAAGTAGCTCACTCACCTAGAGACTTCGTATTACTATACTTGAGGCCAGATGTCAACGCAAAGTCCAAAGTAATAACCTTGGGTCACAACTAGAGTATCGAGGCAAGTTAAGATGAGAATTAACCTTGCTCGTGCTTCCACAGCCATCGTATTCCTGTTACCAGGCGCTTCATGCTGTACCATCATTCTGTGTCACGCACCTTCGATAAAGCAGAGGCCAGCAATCATGTACACGTCATAGCCAACGCACATGTTTGAGAGGGATTATCAACTCGAGATGAGGATATAATATGATACGTAGCCCCGTAGGAAGCGGTCTACCTCTTCCTGGACTCTGGTTCGTCAATATCTTGCTGATGTTGGTTGAAGACGTCGTGTCCGCCCACTTCGAGTGACACTTTTCTAAACCTGTTTGGGAGCACAGTCTGGAGACAAGAATGCTACATGATCTGAAAACTATTCAATCTGAAAAGGCGGCCTGGGGCTACCCGTATACGCTAGAGCGGGAGCATTTCATCGCACTGTTGGAAATGATATCTCATCATGAGCACAAGTGGGCACCCCTCTGCCAAGTTTACGAACTGCGAGCCAATGGCAACACTTACAAATATCCGGAATGGATGGGTTACGGAGAATTTTTGTTAATAATTGTGCTACTGAGGCTCACCGTGTTTGAGGTAGAGGGCGGATGTTGTGAACTGGACCATCTGTTGGTTCTTACTTGAAGCGCATGCTGCATGAGTAGTTCCAGAGCATCTCACGGGTACCTGTCTCGGAAAGATTGACAGATGCAGTAATGCCCGTCAACGGGTTTATACGGGGGAGCCACTAGAGCCACATGGCAAGCCGTCGGTGGAGGATATGAGTTTATGAGAGACTTAAGAGAGGGAACTTGTGCATACGGCACGGCAGGTATCGGGACATCTGCCCTCGGCAGCAGGAAGGGGATAAAATTTGGCTGAAAAAGGTGGTGAATAACATGGCGAGAGGGATATTATTGATAAAAGGATGGGCAACTTGAAACAGGTTGGAGTTGGGTTTCAAGATATGCCTCGTCGGACCCTGAAGTGGTCATGACGATGATGATCAGACGTTGAATCACATCACATCGAGAATGGCTGTTTCTTGTCAAGATTTCACGGCAATCAAAGTCGATCGATGCCAAGAGGATTATCCGACGGGGCAAGGCTGAATACAACAGCATCGGGGTACGCGTAAGTTGTAACTTTTGTGTGTCGTGGTAGCATTACGGGGAAATTGGATTTCCAGGGACGTGGTCGTGACAGGCTCCAGTCAGTGTCAGTCAGGATCCATGCTCTCGAAACCGATCCATGCATGACCCTAGCGACCCTGTTCGAGGCCATGCCCCTTTGGGTCAAATCGCTAGGCCTCTTTCTCGCGCCTGCATCGCATGGGGATGTGTCCAGGGTTCGTGGGGACGACGAGAAACGTGGTTTCATGATGCCGACCCAGCGCCACTGTCAGGGGATCAGTCAAATCAAGGGGAGGGACGAAAATAGATTGATCAGGATGATAGAGGCGAAGAGAAGAAACGAAAAGATGAACCTGATATTACAGGTTGAGGTTGCGGTCAAGGGGTAGTAAGAATCAGTCATGGACTCTTGATTTCAAAGCTGCAAGCCCATCTCTCGTCTTGCCCTATCAACGTTGGCCGTTTTGCGTTTCATCAATGCCTTGGCCAAGGGTAGAAATCACTCTGTCTGAAACAGCCGAGCATGAAATAATTACATAGGCCGGCAAGTATCTCTTTCTTTCTTGCCGTGGTTCATGCTCTGCCTGCCGTCCAGGTCTCTCTATCTCGGCTTCAACTCACCTTCTGGTTTCGTGTAAAGCGGCGTGATGGATGGCAAGATGAGCCAGTTCAGCTGACGGCCCGTTGCTGACGAAGAACAGGGTCGGCCGCTCGCAGGATGGTTCTGTGGTATCTGTATTATCAAGCAGGCTCCCGTGAGCACTTATACTCCGCTTGTACAATCAAGGGCGCAGGACGGAGTGGACGCCTGTAGGCTGTAGGTTTTCACATCCCGCCACAGCCCCAGTGCATGCAATACAATGCTTCTTCATTCCTTTGATGGATGTCTCGGCAGCCCTCCTCTGGGCTAACCGAGTTCCAGCTCCCGTCCCTTCACACCCTCTCGGGGGCACGTCAGGGTCTTGGGTTCTGGTCGGTTTGCAATCCATATTGTCCGATATTCCCCATCCTCCCAGTCGTCGCCATCGCAATGTCTTGTAGCAGTCGTATCGTATGTAGAAACGCCCCTGAGCGGGTCTATCCCATGGGATCGACAAAGCCCAAGGAGCTTGATCCCCATGATGCCCAGGTCGAGCGCCGCCGCCCGCCACAAGCGCGCCTTTTGCTCTGTGACCTTGCCTTGAGCATCCAGAGGCGGTGCGTGTACCTGTGTGTGTGCCTCTCTGCTTGTGCGCCCCAGCCAAATGACTTGGCTGCCCCTTGGACACTGCGCAGAGGCGGCAACGCACTAGGCAAGGCGTCTGCAGGTGGATTTTTATTTAGCCTCGAGACCGTCTTTGATGATGGCGAGGGGAGGGAGATTGGCTTTAATTATAGCACTCGTCTACCAACCATGGGGCGATCATTTTGCTTCTTCTGACGAGACCTCCCAGCGTCCGTATAGAGACATGTATGTATAGGGACATGTATTATCAACTTCGAATCGTGAAAAAGAGTCAATATTTACATACATGCCCTGCAAGAAATCATCACCCCTTATGCCAACCCCTGGGGCATGCTCCAGCCCACACGCACACAAATCTGATGCCGTGGTACCGCACACGTTCATGGATGGCCAAGGTAGTAACCCTTGGATATGCCCTGACGCAGAGCCCTTCCTTGCGAGCTTCTGCTACGTGGATCAACCTCATTCCAATCGACGAGGCTCCCTGCCGGGGAAACCGTGAATCGTAGCATGCACGACAAATCTGACAATGTGCCTGGACGGGTTGACAAATACGCAACAGACCCAACAAGTCGGTTTCCACGGCTTCTGCTGCTGCTTGTTCAGCCTCCTCCTCCTCCTGTATACGTATGGATATTGCGCGGCGTGTACATACACTACTGAGCTTTACCCCTGGTCTGCCACAGCCCCTGCTCCTCTAGAAGCCCTGGCACGGCGTTTCCATAGGTTGTTGGATGGTATCCGTGCCTCGTCAGACCCGACAAGAGGCGGGAGACTGAGGTGATCCATCCATGAGCCCCCCTCCCCAACTTCCTTCTCAACCTGACCCAACCCGGGGCTGGAACGGAGTGCTAGGGGCCGTTTAGCGTGTTGGTCCCCTTGAAAGCTGGAACCCTTCCACTGTGTTCCAGGCTTAGTGGGTGATCCCCTCCCCCTAGACTGCTGGGCGTCCTCACTAATCCCTCCACTAAATCCTCTTCATCCTCCCAGGCTCCGTGAAGTCAAGTGGCTTGCTGTTCATCCCATCCCCATTTGGATCCCACGTCTCCATTCCCACCTATCCATTCATTCCTCCCATCTCGACACCCGCCGTCTTCCTTCGTGAACCAGACACAATCCGGATCGGATCCTCTCTTTTTCTGTGTCTGGCCCGGGGTCCTCTGGGTTCTAGTTCTTCTTCCATCATCCATCACATCTTCTTTTGTCATCCATCCAGAGGGTTCCGTCACTGTCAGTCTCGCCCCGTCCCGCATCGACATTGTCAACCGAGCGTCGAGGTTTCATCGCTCAGCGCCTTTCGTCCTCGCCCATCGCTCCTAGGCCTCGCTCGCTTCCATCCGTTTGCCTCCAGCTCTCAGAGCTCAACTTGCAGCTTCAAATCAACTGAGGCCCCTCTCGCCAATCCCGTCGCTGGACCACCCTGGCCCTATTCCACGGACCAAGGACCTCCTGGACCCTCGTCCTCATCAAACCCAACCCTCCACACGCCCCCTTGTCTGGTCTGGTCCGCCTTTGCTGGCTTGTCCTGACTTTGGCTGGGCTGTCCTCTGCTGCTTCTTGACCTCAGCTCAGGTCCCTCCTCCAGTTCCAATCAGTCTTCCTTCACAGCAGCCCGAGGCACGACCCTGCGCCGTCGTTGCTTGATCGACTCCAACATCGACCGACTATCCCGACGACCCTCTCCTCGCGCCGAGTTCTGGCTACCACTCGCCTCTCCGATCGTTGATCCGATCTCTCCGTTCATCCCCTCGACTCGTCCATGACGCCTGCTCTCTAGCCACGTCGTGTCGCTTGCTACCTTGGGCCGAAGCCTTCACCTTCATGAGAGCCGTTGCCGCCGTCAGCACCACACCTCGCTCGCTCCACTCTCCGCCCCAAAGTCGACTTCCGCTCTTTGGCTGATACAGACCGCCCACCATGGCCGGCATCGTTGAAGACTACCTCGACGGTTCCATGGACAATGATACCGACGATGTATTTCCATGCAAAGGTTGCGGAGAAGTATGATATTTCTACGAGTGTATACGGTCTACGACCTGTTACTGACTGGTGCTATTCTAGATCCTCGAGGAAGGCAAGGCGTTTGAACTAGGTATGTGAAAGTTTTCCACATTGACGATACCCCTCGTTATGCTTCCGCAGCCCGATGCCACCGCAAGATGGCTCAGAGCGGGAGCTGTCGGTTATCGCCGTCTCATTGTACTATTTGCTGACCGTCTTGACAGCTGGCAACCGATGGCACCTGGACTGCTTCCGGTGCAACACCTGTGGTACCCTCCTAGACTCCGATGCGAACCTCCTCCTTCTCGGCGATGGGTCTCTCATCTGCAATAACTGTACATACAGCTGCAGCGCCTGCGGTAACAAGATCGAAGACCTAGCTATCCTTACTGGGGAACAAGCGTTTTGCGCAACTTGCTTCCGCTGCCGCAACTGCAAACGCAAGATTGAGAACCTTCGATATGCTCGAACCTCACAAGGCATTTTCTGCATGGGCTGCCACGAAACGTTGATGGCCAGGCGTAGGAAGAAATCAAAGGCGGCCGCCGCTGCAAAAGCAAGAGAAAAAGAGCACTCGCCGATGATCACTGAGAAGTCGTTGCCCGCTCTGCCAGCCAACGCCATCCCTCCTAATGCGTTTTCCAACGACCGTGTCGACCCCGACTCTGACACTGCTACCGAGCTTTCTCCTCGGCCTCGGACAGGCCACGGTCGGAACGAGTCGTCGTCTCGAAGCAGCTCTCGACCAGCCCGCTCTCCGGAGCGCAAGGGCGGCGATGGCTTAAGCCTACCGGCTACCACATACCGAAACAATCGCAATTCGACCATGATGTCACGGGCTGATACTGGCGCAGTTGATCCTGACAGCTTCCTCATTTCAGTAGCCCTGGATCCTAGCCCGCATCCGACTCCGCGGTCGACGTCCGAGAATCTTTCTGATGTGGGCAAGACCAAGGAAAAGGACTATTTCAGTGCGCCCAAGTCAGCTGCATCTGAGAAGCAAAGTAACTCGCACAACACAACCCCTCACATTGCTTTCCAAGAGAAGGGCCGCCAGCCTTCTTCGTCAGAGTATGAAACCCCTCCCAAGTTACCATCCCGGAAGCTCTCCAAGTCATCGAGAACCGACACGAGTAGACGCTCGCCGGCGATTGATGACAGGCCTCAGAAGGCAGCCAGCCGCCGTCCACCCACCAACGAGGACTTTAAGCTCCAGGAGGCCCCCAAGAGCAAGAAGTTGGTATCAAGGAGCAGCTCACAATCTTCGAGCGTCCCGGCGGAGACCACCAGCTCTGCCAGGACAAGCAATGGAACGCGGAAGGAGAGCGGCTATGGCGGTGTGGCTCATTCCGAAAGCACTGTTACAACACCCGCCTCGCGGTCATCACAAGAGTCGAGGCGGCTGGATGAGGATGAACTTCGTGCTTCGATGGACTCATCATCCAGAACATCTTCCCGGCCAGAGAACGCCAAGCCCATTGCTCGGAAAGAGGTCCCTGCCACTGGCACAAGAAACGGTAAGACACAGTCTGGTCATGGAATCACTGAAGGGTTGCTAATATCGATACCAGTCAACGGAAATGCCAGGCAGCCCGCTCGACAAGAAACAGAAGATGCCACGCCCACTCGAAAGAACCCCCCTCGAACCTCATCGGTGGAGCAGAAGAAGACGGATACCTACATGCAGCCACGGTCAGCTCCCGCTCCTCCCACTCAAATCCACACCCAGGTGCACCCGGGTGGCAAGGAGGCGACTGGTACCAAGGACGATGGCACATCCCCCAAGCACTCACCCAAGCTGCCTAGATGGAGCAGCGGGGGCGACTTTAGTATGGATGAGGACATGGCCCGTATCCTTGGCACCGACGAAGGCTCGACGTCTATCCTTCGTCGTGTGTCCAACGCTGTAAGACATGGCCGCACTAACAGTGTGGAATCGCCCATCGGAAACCCTTCAAGGACTGGCCACACACGAAGCATCAGCGAGACTACTCGCGCAACTGGCTCTCCTCGCTGGCCCAGGACACCAGTTGCCGAGGAATACGGTCACGCTCACGAAATTAGCAGCCCAATGTCGCTGGCATCTGGCGACGATCCTGCTTTCCTCAAGCGACAGCTCCGAAACTCTGAGCAGCGAGTAGCAGAGCTCGAGAGGCAATTCATGACGGAGAAGGATCTCAAGAGCCTCAACAAGAAGCTGGTGGAGAAGCGAAAGACGGTGTCTGTTCTCGACACCCAAACCGAGATTATGATTCGACAGCTGGAGGTCCTGGCCGGATACGTTGAGCGAGCCAAGGAAACCAAGACGCCTGTAGACCCGCGGGATCTTGAGGACTCGGCGATCAAGGAGTTTGTGCAGAAGCTTGACAAGGTCAAGATGAGCATGTCTGCGGCGATCGAGCAGCTCCACGAGGAACGAGACGAACTCCTCGAGGAGAAGAACCAGGCGATTGCTGATCGAGACCGTGCTCTCCTCGAGTTTGAGCAGCTGTCGTCCAAGAACGCGCAGCTCGCAGACATGAACAACGACTTGACACACCAGATTCAGGAACGTTTCAAGTCGCAGATTGGAGGGGATATCAAGTCCCCTGGAGGCCTCGGAATCTATGGCCCCGGCAAGGGACCTAACAGCTCCTCCCTCAACCTGGATTCCGCCAGCCTGTCGACGGGTGCCACTCTTGTCCCTGCCGACGAGGAGCCCATTGTGGAAGCCGGCCCGACGGTGGTGCAGGTCCGGAAGGGCCAGGCCAAGAAGTTCAACTGGAAGAAGGGATCCAAGGGATTGGCCCAGAACGTGGCCAAGGGCGTTAACAGGGCTGTTGTCGCATTCCAGAACGATCGTGAAAGGATGCAGCACCAGGGCGGTGCTCCTCTGAGTGGGGAGAACATCGGCATGCCCTACAATATGACGGTTGCTCAGGTTGAGGCACCAGCTGGCCCTATCTCTAACGGTGGTGCGAACGTGCATGTCGTACACACGGGACACGCAGGCCAGAACAAGCAGCAAGCCGACCGAGACCGACAAGGCTTTGGATTCTTTGGCAAGAAGAACACGCTTCCCAAGTCGGGATCGGCGGGCAACATGAGCAATGCAGAGCCAGCCGAGCCACCGACGGTTCTGTTTGGATCTGACCTTACTGAGCGATCCGATCATGAGCGCCGACAGATCCCCAGCGTGGTGACGAGATGTATTGAAGAGGTGGAACTAAGGGGAATGGATCAGGAGGGTATCTACCGAAAGACTGGTGGCAACTCACAGGTCAACATGATCAAGGATGGATTCAGCAAGGACGAGAACTTTGACATTTCGGATCCTGACCTGGATATCACGGCGGTGACGAGTGTGCTGAAGCAATATTTCCGCAAGCTTCCCATGCCGCTACTGACCTTTGACATTTATGAGCGTGTTCTCGAGTCGAATGGTGAGTCACTGAAGGAAGTGTCTTGGCTGAATCACGGTTTGCTAATACATGATATAGCGGTTGCGGACGAGACAGAACGATGCGATCACCTGCGTAAGACGTTTGCTTCGATGCCCCAACGGCATCGTGATTGCCTCGAGTTCCTCATGTTCCATCTGGCACGCGTGGCAAAGCGTGAGCCCGAGAACTTGGTAAGTGATGACCCCTGAATAACGGCGATGACCTCGTTTGCTGACAGTCCTTGTTTAGATGTCTCCCAAGAACCTGGCTGTCGTGTTTGCGCCAACGATTATGCGTGATACAAGCATTGAGCGTGAGATGACGGACATGCACGCAAAGAACATTGCTATTCAATTTGTCATCGAGAACAGTCACACCATCTTTGAGGATGCTTAAGCACAGGCACCGGCTTTGCTTCTCAAACACGGCAACAAAAGCAACCCAGTTATTACGAGTGTTACATTATGACGCCTTTTTACGAGACCTTTGAGTCGTGGATACCTAGGCTACCTTTGCAGAGATGCCACCATCATCATCTTATCACGAAACGATTTCGGCACCTTTGGATTTAAAGCGGCCTCGCTGGTTTGTTTCCATGCGTGTCATGCTGCGCACACCGGGCGTTTTTGTGCTAGGACATTTAATGATATCCAACTCTTTTTTTTTTCACATTCCGCTTACTTGCTTTCCTGGGTGCTTCACTGGGTTCCCTGCGACTGCTTTTTGCGTCAACGTTGGCGAGTTCGTTTATGCTTCTTCTTTTTTTTACCTGGGCCATGAGGACAAAGGGGGGAGTATTGGTTACGAGTGGACGTTGTTGCTGTGGGTTTACTTTACTTTACTTTGCACTACTACTATGATAGGATCTTGGTCTTTTTGTTGTTTCTATTGATTGATGGAAATGAATGAATGGGTGGCATGCATCGATCATTCTTGCGTGCTTGCTTGGAATGGAAAGGAATGGAATTCTCATGGTGGCCTCAGTTTCACTTCACTTCACCTCACTTTACACTGCTTTGCTGGGTTGGCTCATGTGTTGTTGCTCTACTTGACTTTGTTTCAAGAGTGTTGCCGTCCCTGCTTGGCCAGTTATGCCATGTTGTTGTTCTTTTGGGTCAGGCAGGAAAAGTACCACTTTACCCCCCTTTCAGACATGATATCTTGTTGATTGATGATATTTGGCGGTTGATTGCCTTCTGTTGAACCCCCCTTCATGGAGGGTTTTTTTGAATATTTTATCCCCCATACTCTCTACTCCCTCCCCCTCCCCGCCTTGTTTCTCTTTGAATGTCCATCTCTGGAATTGGAGGACGTGTTGGATATGTGTGTATGTATTGGTTGTGATGAAGTCGATCCCCTGCTACCCGGGAGTCGGAAAGAAAAACTATGATGATGTATGGCTCGTCAAAGAGACCAGATTGCGATGTAGCTACAGACACAAACCCAGATGGCAAACTCTTTTCATGAGATATGTATCTTGTGCGAGGAACTAAATAACGAGAAATATGCTTGCTCTATTACAATAGGCATAAATGATAACTAGGACATTGTTATCAATGACGCCACAGTATCAAAGAACACCATAACGAACACATGACAACATCAAAACCCAATTATGAAACTTTCTATAGCCAGTACATACTATGCCAGACTCTCTTGATTGCCAAATTGATCAGGCATATAATTACAAAAAGCTAAGTGTATAATTACAAGCAACGCAAAAAAGTCTTCACAAAAAAAGGGGGGGGGCAACTATTCAATAGCAGCAGCAACAGCAACAAACGTGTTAGAAACATAGAATCAAAAAACCACGTCTTGTAAAAGCCCACGGATGCGTGACCAGAGAAGAACCATCAACGGCAACATGTCCTTGCAGGTTCGTGTCATGATCCTCTCGTGGTGCCAAAGAAACTCCATAATCAAATCTCACGCCCTTGATGTTTGTTTCCCGTCCTTTACCAAAACTCCGGCATCCAGCGCCAATATTTTGTGACAACAGGTCCCGTCCAGCGCCGCCTCAATGACTATTCAACTCCTCGCTTGCTAAAGTTGACTCAGGCAGCAACAGGAGGGCCCTGCTCGCGCTGTCTCTTGACGATGTAGTATGTGATCAAGCTCTTAGGATCGTCCTGGACATCCCTGAGGGCATGCCAGAAGGACTCCTCGCCGACGCGAGCGTGCAGAGCCACGCAGAGCTGAACAGCATCCATGCGGACGCCAGAATCAGCCGAGACGAGGCACCGACCGGCGAGAGCAGCAAGTTGGCCGAGCTCTGTGTCGGTGGGCACAAAGGTGGTCCTCTTGTCGAGCATGGTCCGTAGAACATGCAGTCCCGTGCTGAGGATACGGTTGTCCTCAGGGGCAGTACCGTCGTACGCTTCGAGACGCTTGGTCAGAACAACAACAATCTCAGAGCCATCGCCAATGGTGACAAGCTCGTCAGCCAGCAGCTCGACGCCGCTGACAATGTGTGCACGGATGTCATATGCGCTGCGAGTCTCGAGAAGAGACTCGAGGCCCCTGGACACGTGAGGCTGGAAGTTGTCACGTTCCTTTCGGAGAAGTAGCCTGATGGTGGCCAGGATCTGGGCCTTGATATCCTGGGCCTTGTCCACGTTGACATTGGGCAAGGGGTCCTCAAGATACTGGAACAGGCCAATCAGAAGCGCCTCAAACTTGTCGTCCGTGAAGATGCCCTTGCTGTCTCGCAAGAGAGACTGCAGCTTCCGGAAGCCGTGGACATCAAGAGTTCGGGCCTTGATCCTTGTGATGCCACTGTCCAGCAGCCGCGAGTTCTGCTTCGTCCTCTCGGGAGAGTCTACGTCTTGCATCACGGGAGTCTGAGCGTTGGGCAGGTTGGCCGCATCGGCGTTGACAGGCTTGTCCTCCAGCACAGGGAGGTTGAAGGTCGGCTTGGGGGTTGCCTGATCATCAGTAAAGGGGTCTTCGTACACTTGCAATGTCGAGGCAGGAGTTCCAGGCACAGGCTCTACCTGCATGGGCTCTGCGAGAACGGGGACAGGAGCTGGAGCAGGAGTCGGTTCTACCACGAGCTCTGCCACGGGCTCTGCAACTGGCTCCGGTGCAGGTGCTGGAGCAGACTCTAGTACAGGCTCTGGCATGGACTCGGTCACTGGAGTACTCAACTCCTCAGGCGCCTCTGGGGGTGGTGCAGATGCCTGCCGTTGCAAGCCAGCCATGGTTGGGACTACGAGAGTGAAATCCTCATTCGCCCTTGAGGGACTGCTTGAGGGTAGCATAGCAGACTGCGATTGCTTCAACTTGGTAGGGCTCACACGGGGCGAAGCCGCTGGCTTGACTGGCGACCTTGCAGAAGTAGGAGATGGCAGGCTAGACTCGCTGGCATGAGGCGCATGACCGGGACGTGGCCGAGGTCCAGTCCTCTTAGGAGTGGTCGCTCTGGGCCTTGGCGTCGTGGTCTTTGACTTCACACTCTCAGGACTCCCAGGTTCCACAGACGGGTGATCACGAACAGAGTAAGGGCCAGCAGTGGCAGGACGAGCCGCCAGTTCCGGCCTTCTCCTCGTTGGCCGCATCGGAGCCCCTGACATGCCACCAGCCTCTGGCCGGGTTCGAGTTGCCGAAGGCTTGGTAGCTGTCGTCGTCGTCTTCACGGGTGAAAGGTGAGCCATGGCAGAGCCAGGTCGAGCTGGGAGGTTCTTGGCAGCAAGGTTTGCCTTTCGCTGAGCCATCATTGCCTCGCGGAGGCTGGGTTTGCTGGTGCCCATTGTGCTCTTGGAAAGCCCAAGACCTGGGCGCGCCACAGGCTCTGCCTTCTTGGGCGAGTTGGGGTTGCTAGGGTCCTTGTTGAGGAGCTTCTGGGCGGTCGTGTCCAAATCGGCCATGAGACTATTTCGTGTTAGCCAAACCAAATGAGGAGCGGTATAGGCGAGTTCAACTTACGCATCTGCTCTCGCGGGCCAGACACCCCAGAATGCCCAGAATGTCGATCGCATCTTCTCTCTCACTGCCGGGTTCGCATCCGCCAGGCCCTTCTTGATACACTTCTCGATCAGATCAACACCACCCGTGTGCTCGATGTGGTTCTTATGCTGGGCCTCCTTCTTCAAGATGGTCTTGACCCAGCCCGTGACGTATGTCCTAGGCGCGACGTTCTTGTCCTGACAGGCCATCCAGATGTGCTGCATCAGTCGAGGGGTGTATGAGACTCTGCTCACGATTGTGTCCACCGTCACATTGGCGAGTTGTGAGCTGATCTTTTTGGTTCCGGCAGAGAGCTTGACAAACGTCTGCATGAGCAGCTCAACCATGGGATCCATGGCCGGGCCAAACGTATTGGCAAGCTCCTGAATAAGGCTACATCCCTCCTTGCACAGACTGGTTCTCAGCGAGACGATCGTCTTGATGATACCGTCCAACAGGCTTCGAATTCCAGCAAGGTAGATATCGGGAAAGTCAGATGCCGCGTTGCCCACAAGCAGCCTTCGGAGCTTTGTGATGGAATCCTCTCGCTTCATCCAGTTTTGTTCCGACTCCTTGCCATCGAAGAACCACGCCATTTCCTTAAAAATGTCATCGAGTTCTCGGTGCGTGTTGACGTACAAGGGGTCGAGGTTCTCGGGCTTAGTGTCGATGCCTGGGGTGATGGGCCGGTCGGCGATGGACGAGACGCTGGCGGAGAGTACTGGACGGGGCGGTGGAGGGGCTTCAGAAGGCGTCTCGGGACGGCCACCCGCTGGGGCAAGTTCCTTGACGATGGCCTGCTCAATGGCGGGTCGCACCTTGAAGTTCTTGAGCTGTCTCTTAAGATCCGATTTGGCGGCACCCGGGGCGGACCGGAAGAGCTCAATGACAGTGTTCTTTGCGGCATCTCGAACCATACCGTCGGCATCTTCGAGTAGTTCCATTAGCGTGGGAACATAGGCCCGGAAGGGAAGTCCCTGTTCTTTGTGCATCTACGGAATTAGCACATGTAACCGCGATCCCTGTTGATCATGGTTCTCACCTGTAATAGCCAACTCATGGCAGACTCTTTTGCTCTGGCGCTCTTTCCTCCCATGGCCGTAGTCCGGACAAATCGCTCAACATCGACGGGCGCGACAGTGTACAGAGTGACGAGGGAGTGCGATGCAAGAGAGCGAAACTTGTCCTTCTGGTCCCCTAGCTTCTCGATAACCAGGGGCAGCGTGCGACCTGCCTCCTTGGTCAAGAGCTTGGGGTCCTGACGGGACAGGCGGGTCAGGAGGTGGTTGAGCGCCGTGAATCCGGCGTTCATGAGGGCGGCATGCTGCGAGGTGGCAGCGGTGCGCAAGCCGTCAAACAGCTGCGGGACGCTCGCCTCGGGGACATTGTGCTGCTTGATGCCGGACTTGATGAGGGTGACGTACTGGACCTTGGAGTCGAGGGTCGAGTCGCTACGGAGGATGGTCGCGAGGTCGGCGACCTGCTGATCGGTGAGCTTTGTGTCGGCCATGGACTTGTAGGTGACGAATCTATACAATTAGGTGTCAGTCGGTTGCGATGTTTATCATGACAACGGGAGGAGATGGAAGCATGGAGGGGCAGGAAGACGGCGCACATGCCCTCGAGCGACGCCAAAGTGGCACGTACACGCTCGTCTCTCCCGTTAAGTGTCATGACGGCGCTGGTGATGCGCCATGCGTTGAGGATTGCCGGGAAATTAGTCTTCCCAGGCAAGGGAGGAAAGACAGCTGCATCCAGAAGAGAAGACAAGCAAAAACATACCAGCGTGTTTAATTGAGTGACAGTTCGTAGACGGCAGAGCGAAACAGTGGAATCGCTCCGGTTGACGTGCGCATCGAGAGGCGTAGACAAGATTTGTTGTGTTTTGTTTTGTTTTGTTTTGTTGTTGCTAGTGACAAGGCTCTAGTCTTTGTTGTTATCTTTTGGGGTGGTGGGTGTGGGTGGGACAAGGGACTTTGGGGATTTTGGGTGTCTGATGATGGACGTCGGGCGCGGGCGCGAGCTCTGACGCGGGATGGATGGAGCGAAAAACAACGGGGACCAGGGGCTTCCGTAGTTGCCCCGGAGAATGATGGATGTATGTAAACCCAAGCCAGGTGTGCCCCGCAGCTTTTGGGCCGCGCTTGCCCACACGCGCTCTCTGCAACCTGCCCGCTGCGGGTAACGCTGGGGCTTGGCGGGGCTTTAGTTAGGGGCATTTCTGGTTAGAGGCTTTATGGAGGGGTTGTTTTGCTGACAGCTTCACTCATGACAGCTTCACTCATGACATCTTCAAGTTGACTACCTGGTATGAGAAGCTTCATCTTCTTTGCACGACCATAGCTATATTCGGTTATTCCCAAGCTCCAATATTCTTGTGTAACTCTATTCGTTCTCTCCACTCTCCCACCGCCTCTCGTATTTCCTTGCCCAGCCCCTTCTGAGTCCGGACCGCCTCCTGAAAACTCATTCACCCCTCCATTCCATCCACCTCGAAGATCACTCTCACCCAGAAACTCTGAGCACATAACCTTGTGGCCGGCCCGTCCCCAAAGAGTCTCATCTAGTCTCAGCTCTCACTCCTTCTCTCGTATGCCTCATCCTCCTCCCGTGTCAGCCGTCCCGACACCCGCCTTCATCTTCTCCCCGGTCCCGATCATGTCCCCCGCCGTCCAGGTCCCCACACCCTCCGGGTCCCGGGACCGCCCCGAGATCCCCGGCGCCGGAGACTTTGATCTCCCCAAGCTCCGTCTCGAGATCCGAGACCTCTCTCACCCGGGCTCAACTGCCTTCCTCGGTGCCGTCAACGCTGCCGACTACCTTGCTCGTGCTGCCCAGCGCGTACTTGCACTGCTCTACGAGTCGCCCACGTGCCCCACAACAACACTCCCATCCACGCGGTCTGTCACTCTTATCCTCCGTGACATGGGCGGTGTTGCCTACACCACCGGCACCGAACTCGATGACGACCACAAGGAGATTCACTTCTCCCTCAACTACATTAAACAAATCAGCCCAACATCCCGCCGCACTGACGAGATCGACGGTGTATTGACTCATGAGCTCGTCCACTGTCTGCAATATCATGGCCATGGGACTTGCCCTGGTGGACTGATCGAAGGCATTGCCGACTGGGTACGGCTCCGTTGCCATCTTAACCCTCCCCATTGGAAGCACAATGCCGATGGCAAGTGGGACGCTGGTTATCAGCAAACGGCCTACTTCCTAGAGTACATTGAGGATCGCTTTGGACATGGGACAATCCGCCGCTTGAATGAGAAGCTCCGGATTCAGACGTACGAGGAAAAGAAGTTTTGGACTGAGCTGGTCGGACGACCAGTCGAGCAGCTCTGGGACGACTACAAGGAGAAGATGAAGTCTTGCTAGATAGTTCCATTAGACAGGTGGCGTTCACGGATCTGGATCGACATGTAGGTGTTTGAGACGACAGAGATTTTATAGACGAAATGAAATAACTAGATGCCGAGGATATAAAACCTGCCCTGAGCCCAATCCCCAACTCCAAAAAAACAAGGAAACGATCAAAAAAATCACGGCATCCTAACTTGTACTGTTAATCCCGGCCAAATCTGTTACTCCAGTCGAATCAAGCGTTTTCCTACGGACCTCCAAGGTCCAATCTTGCACAGTGTTTAACTTCTTAAGAACGAACAGGGAGGGGAGCGTCGCTCTCGCTGATGACACTGCCGACCTCAGACCAGCTGGCGGGGGTGGCCATGCCGGAACTCTCGCTCATCACATCATAGTATCGGCCAGTCTCACCCTCGTGAGATGACTGCGCATCACTGGCAACATCATCTCCAGATCCAATGATGGAGATGGAGTCAGTAGGTGTCATCATACCGTCGTCGCTGATGACCGAAGGCTCAGACATGGAGGCAGTGGGGGTGACGGGGAGGGGAGAGTAGAACTCGGGGCTCGAGTTCTGGGCCCAGGCCTGGATGGAGGCGTAGGCATCCTCACGATCCTCCTGGCCGGCGGTCATGAACTCATTAGGGCCAAGTTCGCGATCGAGGGTGGCAGAGGTAGCGGTCTCAGAGGGAGCGGGGATGGGGTCGATTTCGGCGAGAGGAGCGTCAATAGCAGTAGTGTTCTCGTCCTGGCCGCGGGTGGTAGCGCTGTAGATATCGGAGACTTCATCGGCGGCGGGGGAAATGTGGCGGCTAGCTTCCATCTCATCTTGCATGTCTTGGGCATCGATGTGATATTCATCCGCAAACGGGTTGGTGTAAATGGACGTGAGGAAACGAGATTGCTCCCCACGACGTCGCAGACCGTCGTCGGTACCTCGAACGTCAGCACCGGTGTTGAAAACGTAGGTCCCTCGTTCAGCTCCTTCGTCCTGGCGGAGAAAGTCGTCAAAGGACGATCCTCGGGTGCGAGACTCTGTGGTGGCGGGGCGTGATGCGGCGAGAGCTTCCTTCTCCTTCTGCTTCTCCAGCATGACGGAATTCCAATACAGTAGCTCCTCGCGCTGCCTTCGACGGGTCTCCTCATCAGCATCGACACCAGACTCAGCGCCAGCACCTCGGCGGGACTCGAGGAAGCCATCGGCGTCTTCTGGCCTGTTAAACATGGGCTCTCGGTGAGGGGGGTCGATGCCCTCGCCCAAGGAGTGCAGAGCAAAAGCTATCCTCCGGCGAACATCGTCGGCGTATCGTCGCACCTCGGGCGACTCGTAGATTGCGACAGCTGTGGCGACGGCGACCGAAACGGCGACTACGGCACCTGATGCCAGGACAACATGGTTAGGCATTGCGTGTGGTGGTGGTGATTGTCAAAGACGCAAACACAAGCGAGGGTTTTTGGCAACAAGAGACGAGAACAAGCAACAGACGGGCGAGAAAGAAGACGGGGTCTCTCCTTCTCAAAAGGACGATGTAAAGAGAGAGCTTTCCAGAAACTCTGAGCAACCAAGACGGGAGGCAAAGGGGAAATTGAGCTTGCGTAGTCCTCGAGCATTCGCCACAGACTGATGGGCAGCCTTGTGGTACTGTAGGTCCAAGGTTGACCTCGGGGCAGTGAAGGTGCCCGTGGGCAGTGGCTCAGGCGACTTTTGGCCTGGGGGCCCAGCTCAGGCAGCCAGCTCTGGAACAGCAGCCACGCGACGTGATTCGCAAGCTTCCCCCCAGTGAGTGGGCGCGGGGTAAGGTCAGCGGCGCATCCATGGCCTGGACCTCAGCCCGTGACGACGACTTTCTGGGCGGAAGAGTAGAAGCAAAAAAAAAAAAAAAAAAAGGCACGACAAAATAGCAGAGACAAACAGACAAAGGGTGAATTAAGTAGAGCGATGCAGTTTTTTTCCTTCTTCACGTACCTGTAGCCACCAGAGGATGAGGCATCACTCCTGTCGCCTCTCTCTCTCACGTGTACGTATTCGGGCAAGATGAACGATTGCAGATCAGAGCGTAATGATGAGCCTCAGATCGGATAAACTGGAAATGCGCGTACTGTAGGTAGCGAAAGTGGAAAATTGGAAGAGTGAGGGAAAGGAGGACAAGAAAGAGATCGACAGATCAAGGTGGGATTTGACGGGACAAGAAAGGATTTAAGAAGAGAGAGACAAACCCCGAGCCATCAGCGACAAGACTTAAGACGGACGGGAAAGACGGGAGAGAGCCTCTCGTCAAGCTTTCGATGGGGTGGCTGTGCTCTTGCCTTTTTCCCTGCCTGAATGTGATGTACTGCAAACGACAAGACAAAAAGGCAAGAGAAAAAGTAAGATTTCGTTCGCAGTTTGGTTTTCATCAAGTTTAAATCGAGTCCTTTCTCCTCCGACTACAGCATAGCATTGTTTTTCTCATGTTAGAAATGGCTCCTCTCGCCTGTTTGCTGGCCCCTCTCTTCCCAATTCTTCCTCATCCGCCGCTTGCGGACGGCGGGCGGCGCGTGACGTGATGTGATGGATGATGCGCAGAGCAGAGAGGGAGAGTCACTAACACGCCCGCTTCCCGAACCACATTGGCACGCTCTTGGGTTGGGGGAAAGGACGCAAAAGGCGTTGCGGCGAGATTCCAAAACTTGACAGCCCCTGAAACTCTGTTTTTCTGTCAAGCTCGACACGTCATTGTTTTGCAACTTTGTTTCGTCGACGTCCAGGTATTGTAAGACGAGCTAGATAGCCGCGTCAGAATTGGGTGTACTTGGGAGGTAGTAGAGCCTCGAGTCCCAGACAGCCCCCTCGGGTACATCCATGATCTCGGACGTCGGTACAGTACTACCTCCGTATACTACCTTGCCGTGGTGCGGCACCGATGGCCGGAGCATCCCATCCAATCTGCTCGAGTCAGCCTGGTCACGGCCTTTTTCGAGGCGAGACCAACAAAAAGAGCGATTGTGCCTAACCAACAACAAATGATCCATCCATTGGCGGATGAACCGTGACGACGTCAGGACGGGACGCGGGAATCTGCCGTCATGCGCGGGTTGCGTACGCACTTCATACATTCCCTCTCAAGTAAGACCCTAGATCTGGACCACTGGTGATTCCGCGCCTGGCGCATTTCCGCGTAAAACGCAGACGCGAAGGTAAGAGAAATCAAAACAATCCGATCGACCGAATCAGCCGGCGCATTCTAACAAGTGACCAATGGATTCATTCCATGACCCGGCCCGGCCGACCTTGGACCATCGGGCGGTGAATCCTCGCTCTTTTCGCATTCGCTGGCCATTGTCTTCAATTGAATCGCCACAGGCTGCCTGCCCCCCGGACCATAGAGCCGCCGAACACCGACCTGGCCCCGCTTTCTGGCTCCGGAGAGTCGGCCTCGGCGCGCGAGGCGGAGGATTGTTCACCCCTGGACGTGACCTTTGCGGTGGGCCAGGTAAGAAAGAGGGTCGGTGGGGAAGAAGCAAAGAGGCAGGTGTCTCAAGGCCAAGAAAAAGCTTCGGTCACCAAGAGCACACAAGCCGAAACTTGGCAATCGGGGTCTTGCATCTGGCTCACATGGACAGGTGGCTCTGCTTGTCATTTCAGGTCCGTGAGTGGACAGCAAGGTTGCAATGCCCAGACAAGATGCAATTGCGTATTCGGGCTGGGGAACGGTTGTCTTGGGGTCAACTCGGTGAGGGACATTGTTCAACTTCATGTTGGATGGTGATGATGAATGCACGCACACAGAAACAGACACTTATTTGTGAAGAAAATATGAGCATTTCAATTCATGGGGACGCCGAATGTCCCGTGTTCAAATAACCGTCGCTAAATGCCAGATAATGTGGTATCAAAAAGAACCAAGCCCGATTTCTGTTCCTGGGACTAGCCAGGAGTAAATCCGCCTTTTTTTGTTGGTTGGTTGTGTTGTGTGCCTCACTCTCTCACGGCTGTCGTCCGAGACAAGTGCGTGGGGGTTCAGAGTCGAGACGCCACATCCATACCAAATCCATCCAAGATCCTCAACCATCGAGCCTCAAGCCCGACGTCGATCTCATGCGCGTCCATGGATGGAACGGCATCTGCTTTTAAGCAGACTTGGAGGTACCGGTGGAGTCGGTGGAGGTGACAGAGTCGGTGGAGTTCTGGCGGGCAGCCTTGGTACGCTCACTGATGAACTGGTTAGTATCATGATGGTTTGGAAAGAGAGGGCAGACTCACTAGGCAGAGCGGTCCTGGAGGACACACTGGTAGCGGGCGCTGCCAGTCTTGATATGGAACTTGATGCCCTTGTTGTCGCCAAGGGACGAGGGAGTCTGGACGGGAGTGGTGGTCTCAGGCATGATGAAGGTTGTGGTGGTGTAAGTGGGAGAGGTTTGGTGTAAGTGGGCAGAAGAGAAGCAGACGATGTGATGAAGTGATGGTTGAGATGAGATCTTGGACGAGGGAAGACGAGGCCTAATATACCTTTTGGAAACAGGAAGATACGTATCTCGTCATTTCGGCCAGATGCACCTATCCACGGTCCGCGAGGCTAATAAAGGAGTGAGCCATTTTCTTGACGAGCAAACAGTAGCAACACCCTCAGCTTGCCCCACGATATGAAGCCTCCACTACGACTGTATGGTAGGGCGCACCCACCAAGACAGGATAGACCCCTCGTCTCATCTCCATGCGCCCCAGCATCCAGTGCCAGCAGGGGGTGGTGGGCGTCTCACAAGCAAGGACCAGGCTTTGGAAGTTGGACGAGGAGAATGCCTTGCTGAGGATGTGTTCACCGTCTTCTCCATTAAAGAGTTCCCGGACATCGCGAGCAAGAAACAAACCGAGTACCACGGAGTAAAAATCTACGCCCCGTGTCTCGGGCTGACTGACAGCGAGACACGGCTTCCACGGAATTGGCTCTCTGCGTCTGTGAGGCGTCCGTGGGTCAGGACACCTTCTAGAAGACCAACCGGGGCTTTCCAGGGTTTCCAGTTTTGATAGTGAATGGCCCGCATAGTCCAATCCCCGTCCCCGTCTCCGTCTCCGGTCCCTTTTTTTTTTTTACTCTTGTCGATCGGGGGGCTCGCTCCGCTCCAACGGGGGGATTACTTGGGACCCTCTGCCATTGGCCACTCTTGACTGCGAAGACGGATATCATCGCACCTCCGTCTCTCCCGGCCGTGTCCCTGCACTTTGTTTTTGCCCCCAAATTGCTGAGGCGAGAGGTATTATTGACCGCTCGTGACTGTGAAGTGAGATCTTGCGCATCATCCATTCCTTTGGATTAGGCAATTGCGTGCGAACCTCCGGCCACAACCTTCGGGATGCTTCGGTCTTTTACACAACTTGACTCTGCTGCTACCATGGCTTCCGGGAGATGAACTCGGTGGCAACGAAACACGTTGATGGAAATCCGTCTCATACCCGATGTTGCATACTCTTAGCTCTCACCCACAAAACAAGCAGCACTCTTCGGTCACTCAGCTCAAGACACGTCCAACAGGCATGGGCCGTTGGCATGGATAGGCATGGATCACAGGACAAGCTGCAGGGCGGCTCGCGCCTTGCTGGGCATCCCTTCGCCTCAGAGGATGGGTTTCATGATGGTGATGACGTTGAGGAGCTCGGCTCCTCAAGGCGGCTTCCACAGCTCTCAACAGGACGCCTAGGGAAGCCCATTGTGCAGCTTGTCCCCCGCACTCCGTGGCCGGCCTTGAGCATGATTGGGCGTGTGCCACGAGGATCCACGACGGGGTCCCTGGCTTGTCTTCACCGCATGTCCCTGAGAGCACTGGCTGGGGGTAAAGAAGCTGGGCGATTTTAGCCTGGAACTCGACCATGCGGCTTTTATGGATGCATTGGTCCTTGATTAGAGACTATCGTGTCGACCAAGACCTGTCAACAAGACTACAAGCGCCCTGCTCTGGGGCATCGCGACGCCGTGCAGCGCGGGGTGAGATGCAAAAAGCATCACATGGACCCTCATATTGAGCGCACTACGGCTTCCATATTGTCGCGCCAGCCGCGGTGATGCACACAAGAGCCGTTTGTTCCGTCGCTGGCGCATCTCGAGTTGTTAGTCGTGCGGCCGAATCCTCCTCATCCACCAGTCTCATCAGGCGTGGTCGACCGAGAGCCGGCTGGCAAAACCTCACATATGCATATGCATGGTGAATGTCGAGCGTCTCCCTTGTGTGTGCTTTGCTGGCGGCACGCGACTTCTTCTCGTCTCTTCGAGATTCCACCTCCGCTCAAGATACCCTCCCTGCCTTGTTTGTGGATGCTTGGCGAAATCCAGACTGCTGCGAGTGCTTCACGTTGCAACGCCACCTCCAGGTATTGACATGTCGCTTCGTGGCGATTCACCAACTGCTGGCCTTCTCGATTGTCATCGCCGTTCCTCCGGGCCATGGTGTAACCACTGATATCCACGAATATGGCCTGATGCTCACCAAGTTGACATTGTGTATGCAGAGCCGCGGCGATTCCCCATCAGCTCATTGGTAGCGTTTTGGCTATGCGAAACAGTGGCGCCTTTTCCCTGGACCGTTGCAGGCAGGCCCGAATCTGATACCGAGCACACGTTCCAAGACGACGGCTCGCATATTATCTGCTGTCCATCATGCCCATGATCCGCTGCTCCTCGTCGGCGTCACTAGTTGCGTTGCCGGTACGCACACCCCTTTTCTGCAGCTCCTCATCTATGGTCTTCCGTGTAAGCATACCCTGGGCGAGGTTGGGTATCTCTTCCTTCTGCTTGCGCAAATGATTTTCCACACTTCGCATTCCCACTACGAGGAATCCGAGCTCTTCCCGGTCTACGTCAAAGACCTCCCACCATTCGCATTCTGGCATCTTGGCACCCAAGTCTCGCGCCGCATTGTATATGGCAGCTGTCGCTAGGGCATGCGGCTGATGGGTGAGGTATAGCATCTGAGGCGAGAGCAGTGCCGTGTTAAGGTATTGAATGGTGCGCAACGATATGGCGGATTTTGGCTTCGCCAGGAAGTCAAGAGTTTGAAGGTAAGTGATGGCGAGTGGGTGAGGCAGCGAGACGTGCGTATCGAACGAGAGTGTGTACAAGATACGGGCTTCAATGGCGAGGAGTCGGGCTTGGAAGGTGTGATAATCGGTTTCGGACATGTAGTAGGACTTGGGGTCGTTTTCCGTCACGCTGTTGGATCGAAAGAAGGCCGAATCGTCCGATAGAAGGTAGGCATAGACGTTGGACACGTCGCGGGGTGATCGAGGCTGGGGTCCCATTTTTGATACCAGGTAAATAGCGGCAGCCGAGGTATCCTAGAGGGTGTGAGTATCACCAGGCGGCATATTTTGGACCAGAAGGTGGGCAGATCTCACACTAAACTCATTGGCCATGGGAGAGTCCACTAGCCAGTATCGTGCGAGGATAGTGTTAGCCTGCGCTGTCACAGACTGAGGAAGCTCCAAAAGCTGGCCGGCAGCTTGCGTGAGGCATTGCGAGGCGATAAAGACGGCGTCTTGAAGATCCTGCGGTAGAGCCGAGAATGAAGATCGATGATACAGTTGCGAAGCCGTTGCTAAGGGGTTGAGTAGATGCGCCATGCTGGGCTTGGACTGCGCCAGCAGAAGTTGGTGGGTGATGGTGTTTTGATTTGGTTGAAATTCACCCCCAAAGTTTGACGAGGCTGAAATTCATGGAAGTTCTCCATGGGCTCCAGCGCCTGCTGCCGCTAATAATCAGCCGCTCCACCACACCAACGTGGGGCCAGCCGACCATCCTTGCACTTACATGCACGCACACCTGGACGTAAGAAAACTTGAGACGCCAGAACAATTACACTCAGTAAAGAGTACTCATAAAATAACCTAATTATATACTAAATAAGAGATAAAAATAAGGAATAATATCATAAGTCTTTAAGTCTTTTATTTATTATATTTAGGGACCTTTATATGCTTTAGAAAATAGAGATTATTAACTCAGTACCTTATGTTTTTCTGCGAACGCGTGACGCAGTCGAGAAGCAAACAAGCAACACTCCCAGAACCACTTTATGAGGTTCACAGTCCCTTGGCATTTCTAATGTTTAGGTACGCAAAATGTCAGCCAAGACTCGGTTTATCAGTTGCAAGAAGTTTCGTTCCTAAATAGGTTGGCGAATGCTGTGCTTGTGTGCTTGCAGCAAGATGGCGGCAGACCCACGTGACATGACTTGTAATGATGGATGCTTGGAAGCTCTCACCTCTTACTAGGTAGGTGATTTCATATGTGAGATAGATCCAATATCACCGCTCTAATTTTGAGACTTATACTTAATAGTCTGGCTCGAAACACCGAGGCGATAGTTCAGCCCCTGTGAGCTACCCACACTTGCCTCTTAAGATATCCTCATAGTCGAGACAGGCTACCAAGGCCATGTGGCCTAGGGACTCTGGATCCATCTGGGACCAGGAGCATTAAACATAAGTGCCAAGGGAATCCTGATCGACACTGCAGTGTTACTGAATCATAATGTGTGGGTTAGGGATGTCTTTAATGTTGCATCGCATGAAGGACTTGTCAAATATGACATTCCGACGATATGGAAGCTATTGTTTCGCGAAGGCAACAGTCTGCCCATAAAACCAATTGGGTTGCATCAATAGGTATTTGTACATATATAAATGTACAGAGGCCAAGTCCTAATCCTTCTCCTACTCACATCAACAACGTCGCAGTCTCACATGTGGTCGTGGACATGCGGGGGAGTTGGAACCTGCATTGACAGTTGACAGGGTACGTAGCTTGAGCTTGAGCTAAGTTGAGCCGCTGTGGAGCTCCGTCCTCCGCAACACATCACCGCCATCTTCAGTTGATAGCACCAACCTTTCGGAACAGACAAACGGTCCACACCATCACGACCGCATCACGAGAATACATCGGCTTTGGGTAGAAACAGGTGCTGCAACAACCTGGGTCGCTCCTATCGGAATACATCAAGCCATCCTCCCCCGCTTCCCCTCCTCGTTCTTCAACCCACTCCGACCGACAATGGCCGCCTCAGCCCCCCCCTCCCCCGGCGAAGAAACACCATCCTTCGACCTCAACCTCCAGCACGGCCACAAAGATCTCGTCCAGGCAGTCGCCTTCAACACATACGGCGACCGCTGCGCCACCGGCTCCGTCGATGGCAAGATCCGCGTCTTCAACCGCCACAAGGATGGCACATGGCGCCTTTGCGATACCTGGACCGCACATGGCGGAGAGATTCTAGAGGTAACGCAGCCCCCCCCTTGGAACCCTGCCATTGTCTCTGGCTCCTGTGTCATATCCGTCGCACACATACGAGAGAATTATCACTGACGCGCCATTGTTCTATAGCTTCAATGGCTTCCCGCGACCGTCTACCCCAACTTGATCGCTTCCCTCGGCATTGAAGGCCGTTTCCGCATCTGGGTCGAGGATCCCTCTGCCGCACCTGGACGTCGTTTCTGCACTGGACGATCTGGCAACGGCAAGCCTGCCTTTGACACACGATCCAACAAGGCTCCCTACCGGTCATTCTCCATGAAACACAACGAAGAGACTCGCCATACTTACCTTGCGCTGCTCTCGACTGACGGCCGGTTGACCGTCTCCGAGAATGATCAACCCGAGAACCTCTCCGAGTACGCCTCCATCGACGAATTCACCGTCGCTCCTAAGCCCAGTAGAGGCGAGGAGCTTGCCTTTCGCGTTCGCTTTGACCCCAACCCTGAGCCATGCTACACAGCCTTGCGCGCAGGTGTACCGTCCGATTCACTAGGCCTCGTGGTCGCGGCCATGGACACGGTAAGAGTGTATCGATCGCGCGATATTGTGGCTACTTCCATTGGCATCCAACAAACACAAAAGGAGTTTTATCTCGCCGTAGAACTACCCGGCCATCGAGGCCTGGTGCGAGATGTGGCATGGGCGCCGGGAAACATCAGGGGATACGATATCATTGCGACAGCATGCCAGGATGGCTACGCTCGCGTCTTCCGAATCGAGACGCCATACTCAGAAGACGACGGCCTATCATGGTCAGCCTCCGATCTACTCCGGTCAACTCCCCATGCCACTACCAGAGATTCAACACCTCAAGCCAGAACCAACGGAACCGCAACTCCGACTGAAAAGCAGGCGCAGACACCGCAACTTCAGCCTATGCAGCACCATCACCAGCAGCAACATCATCACCACCAACAACATCAACACCATCCTTCCGGCCTCAGTGCCAGTCTCGCCAAGTCTGGCTCTCTAGGTGATCGCCATTGGGCCGGCCAGCCTGGCCAGGTCAAGCACGCTTTCCAGGAGATTTCAAAGCTTGACAACCACCGTACACCTGTTTGGCGAGTTGGGTTTGACGATGATGGTCAGATTCTAGGGAGCACGGGCGACGATGGCCGGTTGTTGTGCTATCGGCAGACGCCCAACGGAGCATGGGCCAAGAGCTCTGAGTTGGCGGTGCAAAAGGCTCGCATGGCTGCCCCATGAGGCGTCATGATTACGAAGACTGGGTTCAAATCAGTTGTTCGAGTTCCCCTGCGATGACACATTGCGAATGGGTCATGGGCCGTTCGCCAAGTCATCTCCGAAACTAGCTATCTGACAAGCCATATTGAGCACCGTCAAGCATACCAAAGGCCAATATTGCAGAGACTGGTGTATATCTAGTCGTTGTCAGGGTTTCATATGTATCACTCTGATGCTATGGAAGGGTTGTTCTGTGACTGTAACAGTTGCGTTCAAGAGAGAGCAGATCGGAAGCATTCTACCGCCTTGGATTTACCTCACCATGCAGATTGGTCACCACAACTTGATGTTTATAAATGAACAAGGCCCGGACTTGGTATAAATGTCGGTGTCGGGTTGCTGGGAATGCGAGATGAGAGGATGAGACTCACCCATGCGCAAGGAGCGAATACATACACAAGCAAGAAAGATCAAGTTATAGAGTAGTTGCGTGATGATTGAGGAGCAGTTCATCCAGCTAGAATCACGAATTAAATAAACAGTAATCAATACATTCATCATTACTTTGGCTAGAGTCGAAGTATAGGATCTGGTAGCAGTTGTCTGCGTTGACAGCATAGTCAAGTCGATAGTCTTGACTATCCATTGACACCTAAGTGAAACAATTAACACGAAAGTCGAGCAAGGCACATTGAACAGCATACATGGTATTCAGTAGATTTGTATTTTCGGGTAGTCTAATACCAAAGACCCATCTGTAGGTCCAATGGTAAACGATGTTTGTCGGTGATTTTCATCTCTCTTTACCCATTCTCAATTTGGCATATTGCGCCTTGTTGTTACTGCTAGAGCTCAAGTACTTAGTCTTGAAACAAAAAGAAAACCCCCCAACGCCATTCTTCATGAGTCGATTTTATGATTTCCGTCAACGTGCCCTGCGCTTGTATCCTTCAGGGGCAGACGGACAAGGTGCGGGGGTGAGATCGTCCAAGCATGTGATCTGGCTGCGACAACTACTCCCCACACCCTCCTCTCGACGACATGCCTTGGCATGAAGCTGCCCCTGCTCCTCAGGATTGCACATTACTCGATTATTCCATTCATCCTCGTCGTAAAAAAGCTATCCCGCTTAGGCAGCGTCGGCGCTGGCCGCAGGCTGGATAACCTTGGTGACCTGGTTGCCGGCTCGGATGATGCGAGCGCCAGCAGAGTCGTTCATGTAGGTGACATCCTTGTTCTCGAACTGAGCACGCTTCCAGACCTCAACCTCGCAACCACCGCGGAGAACACCAACACGCATGGTGGACAGAAGGTTGTGGGCGGCGTTGGAGTGGTTGTAGACACCACCGTTGAAGATGGCGGTGGCATCCTTGCCAATGGCCGAGTTGATGAGAGCGCGGCCACCGGGGTGGTCCTTGATGAAGTCGGTAACATCGTGGATGACACCGGCGATGGCGACGAGACCCTTTCCGTTCTTGGAGTCGGCGACGAAGTCGTCCCAGTCGACAACAGGGAGCTGGTCAAGGGGAATACCCCAGTCGAGGGTGGCACGCTTCTGGTCAAGCTTCTTCTGGAGCTGCTGGACACGGCCCTTCTCAATCTCGTTCTGGCGGAACTGCTTCAGCTCATAGGCAAGGCCGAGCTGCTTCCACATCCAGATGCTCCACTTGGTAGGGTCGTACTGCCACCACTCAATGGCGTTGCGGTAGTCCGAGGGGAACTCGTGGTGGAAGTTGTGGTATCCCTCACCGAGAGTGACGATGGCGGTGATGACGTGGTCACGAGGAGAGTTGCGGTCGTCAAAGGGCTGCTCACCGAGCCAGTGGGCGAGAGAGTTGACGCAGAAGGTAGCCTGCTGGACGAAGCAGACACGGAGGATACCAGCATAGACGAGGCCACCCCACCAGTCACCCCAGCCGAGACCGGCAACGAGCATGGGGAAACCGAGAGCCATGAAGAGGACGCACTTGATGTAGTTCTTGTGCTGCCAGACGACGACGGCGTCCTCGTTGAGATCGGTAATGTCGGTTCGGCCCTGACGCTTAGGGTTCTGCTTGAAGACCATCCAGCCCATGTGGGAGTAGAGGAGACCCTTGCGGACAGAGTAGGGGTCCTTGTCGGTATCGGTGTAGCGGTGGTGCACGCGGTGACCATACGACCACCATCGGATGGAGCCCTGGACGGCGCCAGCGCCGACGGCAGCGAGGTAGATCTTGAGGGGAAGAGTGCCCTTGTAAGCGGAGTGAGACCACAGACGGTGGTAACCTGGTGAATTGTGAGTATTCAGTCTTGTTTTGATCCGGCCAGAACGATGAGCGTCCTGACAAAGCAAAACTTACCAGCAGTAATACCGAGACCAGTGTGAACGTAGTAGAAGACAGCCCAGAGGGCGGTCTTGAGTTGAAGAGGAACCCAGTAGGCCGAGATGAAGCCAATCATGGGAACGATGACAACGAGAGTGGTGTTGAGCCAGTTGATGTGCTGGTGAATGTTCTTCCAGGTCATGGGGACGTCGGAGATGTGGACCTTGTTGGCGTTGCTCTTGGGGGCACCGGATCGAAGAGGAATGTAGTCCTTGGTGCCATCAGGGAAGGCCTGGGCCTGCTTGCCCGCGGCGGTGGACGACGACATGTTGATGGGTGTTGTCCAAAACGATCTCTATGTGTTGAAGATGGCGATGGCAAGTGTCGTCGGGGAAGAGAGTGCCCAGCACACACGAGAACCAAGAGGAGATGGCTTCTCGGAGGAGTGAAGGGGGAAGGATGGGCCTTTTGTTAATGGCTATCCTAAGAAGATGATGAGGATGAGAGGAGGATGAGGGTCTGAGGAGGGAGGTTGGACAAGAAGGCGGTTGGGGCGGAGGGTTCCAAAAGGGCTTTATATCAGACCCGACCCGGAGCCGGGCGAGGACTGGAGTGGACTGGATGGGATGGATGAGAAAGAGACCCGACCGGGGGGTGTGCGGGTGGGTGTGGGAATGGGAGGCGTGAGACAAGTGGAGGACGAGTGGAGGTTTCTGCGGCGGGAACAGGCCAAGCGGCCAAGCAGGAGACACAACAAGGAGCGGAGGAGGCGAAGAGAAGGGGAGGAGGCACTGTACCTCGAAGCAAGGGCCCTTGCTCAAGGTTGAGGGCAGTGGCGGAGACGATGCGATGGATGCTGAGAATCGAATCGACATGCGTGCGTCGCAGAGGACAAGGAACCGCAGCAAGGAACACACACACAGGTGATGGCGTCAAACAACCGTTGCCCTGTATCCAGATGACCAGTCCATACAGTACACCACCACGTCTCTCTCGCTTGATCAATCAGATCAACATGATCAGTTGGGGACGGACTTGAAAGATCAAGTTGGGGCGGAGGTTTCCCTGTTCTGTTGGAGTTTCCTTGACTGGCACGCGCTGTGTGCGTCCCTCCACGAACGAACGAACCCCGACCCTCCACACATTTCTCGTCTATCTACACAATTCTCGAGCCTCGGTGATTCACCAACACGTCAAGAAGCCGTTGCTTGTGAAGATTGATGAGGAACCCAAATGGGTGAGTTCTCGTGATTGTCAGCCATGACCCTCCCTCCCGTTTCACTGTGATAAGAGGTTGAACTGTAGTGCAGTGCAGCACCCCTATCGGCACACCCCCTGCCGTTTGTGCATGAACAGGGTAAGAAAAATCCATTGGGGATGGACGGACGGAAGAAAGAAAAAAAAAATACAGAGGCTCAGAGCAAATCCCTCCTACGAATGGCCAATGCCACTCCCGTCTCCCTCCGTTCCGGCCGCCTCCCGGCAACTTCAGGTACCCAAGCCAGGTCCCATCAGGAATAAACTGGATATGGGTACCTGGTCGGTACCCTCCCGAGGGTTGTTGACTGGGCCATCTTGTTCACTAACACGAAAGCTCTTGGTCAAGCTAGGGGAGGGGATTGGCAGCTGTCGGGCTCGGGGAAAGCGAGACAGTATGGACTGCCGGAAGTACCGAGCAGGTAGCTTGATCAGTCTAGAGCAGCGAATTTGACCATCCGAGCGGCGACAGAAAGAGGAATCCCATCTTTCTGCAGGCCAGGAATGCGACCCTGTCACACAACCTTTGACAACCGCCGCGATTCTGATTATCAACATAAAGTCCCCTATCCCCGCTTGACAGATGCCGAGATCTCCCATACCCCGAAGTGAGAAAGGATCAAAAACATGTGATGTTCAAGAATCAGCTCATGATTGCGAAATTCGCCGCTGGGTATTCGACAATTGCTGGGAGAGGGACAGAGGGGGAAAAAAGAGCTGGGCCAGGTACCCGACAAGGGGTGAAGCACTTGTCGACGTCAAACCTCAACACCTTTTTTCGAATGGATGATGTGCACCCCACCCCTTCCCCAACAACTTTTTTTTTGGCGGCTGCCCTTCCTTCCCCTCCAATCGCTGCGGGGCCCGGGCGTCCGTCCGGTTGCCGTTGGAGGCAAAGCTCGGTACCCTTGCCAGAGGGCAAAGTACCACTCCGCACGAATCTGGCGTGCTCGGTACCTCGCCTACGTACCACGGCACATCTCTTCTCTCACCTAACCCTGGGTCGGGCAACGCGCCAAGGAGGAGCCGGTGCGTGCCTTGCAGGGGAAGCTCCCACAAAAGTTGATGGAGCCGCCTGGAGCTCCATAGCCATAGCCCGGTGGTTGGTGTTTTTTTTTCCTTCTGTTGTTGTAGGGCTCGGGCATGGAGCGAGCTTCAAAAGAAAGGGTCCACTTGTCGAGAGGCGATGCTGACCATTTGCCGGAGGGGGAGTTTTAGGAGACAGAGAGACACAGACTGAGAGGGAGAGTCCAAGAAATTACGGACCGTGTAAGTCAGTCGCTATCAGATACACACCAGGATTTACGTGGCGAATTGACCTCAATTGGGCTGTTGACGTGTAAATCCATATCCTCTAAACTCGTTGAGAGCGCCGTTTCCACATCCGGTCATGCCGAGGCTGAGACGCACGCTTATCTACAAGATCTTGCCAACGCTTCAGCATCACAAACCGTCGTCGCCCAAACGTCACCTCGGTCAGCATCCAGTCCAAGCATTCCGTAGGTAGTTGCAACCTAGATAGCAGTCGAGCTTGTCGCCTAGCCTGACTTTGACATCACCGCCCCGAACAATGCCGAGAGTCATCCCATTCAGGGCATCATCATGCCATCACCATGTGCCGTCCCTGAATTGCCGTCCCGCTGCAACAGTCAGATCCCCAAGATTCATCTTGAACCCAACGGCCAACCGAGAGAGATGTATTTCCCAACCTCACCCTTCACGACTCCAGCCCTGCCGCGAACTCATGGTCCCCGCCCTCACAGGATACCAAGTCTTCTCCCCAGATCGAACCATGCCTCGGCCCATTTGCTTCTCCCGTGACATGATCTGCCCTTCCTCCAGGCTCTGAGGTCTCATCTATTCACAGTTGGGGCGGAGAGGCCTGTCCATCCCCTGTTGCCGTCCTCCCGTTGTGCCGGCGGGATGCTGTAGCACAGCACAGCTTGCCTTGTAAGAGACGGGACACAACTGACAGGGGAAGTACGTACCGAGGAACCGACCCTCGCTCTCCCCCAGCTTTTTCCCCAACAGAAACGCAAAGATCGGGATTCGCCAAGCCTAGAATTGCCCAATGGCGCCCCCGAGTCCATTACAGATGGATCCCTTTTTTCGCCTCTTGTCCTCCACTTCAGTTCCCTTGTTTTTCCGTCCTTGACCGTCCGTGAGTCTTTGTCTCGATGGATCCATTGTCAGGCAAACAAAGTTCTTCCCTGAAAGCAAGGTCCAACGCTCATCACGTGATACCACCATCACTTTTTCCTGTCAGCTTCCAGAACCCTTCCATGGCGTCGGGTGGCGCGCGCTACGTACCGCGCCGTTTCCATTGAGCTTCCAATTGACTATCGCCCCTGCGTCAGAGCCACGAGCTTTTTCAACCTCTTGTCATTCGAACTTTCATCCCGTCTTGAGCCACTTACTCAACGACAATCTATATTATCGACTCATAGTCTCTTTTTGTTGAGCTTATCAGGACTACCACCAGTTGTCTCTCTGATGCTGATATGGCACACGGCACGTCACGTCACATCAAACCTCAGTTACAGTACCAATATCGTCTGTTAGTCCATCTTTTTTCTTTTTAATATCATCACTACATATTATCCAATACAGTGCTATCAGCAGCCTCTCCTTCACCACTGACGCCATACAACAAATATGTAAAAATCATGACACCTATCTTCGCGCCCCAATATGCAAAATGCCTGCCGGTTGCCCGCTAGTACACATGAGAGAAAACTAATGCTATCAAGACAAGATCAGATCATAAAAGGAAATTCAATCTTCGCCAAACAAAATCGCAGACATTCATCATGCTCCAATCCGAGGCTGAGCCGCCTTGAGTTTGTCGTCAATCGTTTGTTTCTGCCGCATCGTGTCATTGTCGTCAGTCGTCAGGTGCGCCGCCCCAATCCCTGCCAATGTATCCGTCGTCTTGATGTTGCCTCTGGGTGCTGCCTTTGCCGTTAACTCGTCCGCGCTTTTGGTATCCAGCTCTTTCTTGGGGGAGCCCGCAGTCTCAACGTCAAGGCTGATTGTCTTCCCCTCGATCAACTTGTCCCTGGCATTCGGGTTTTTCTCCACGAGAGCATCGGCAGTCTTGGTATCAATGCCGGTCACCTTGGGCTCTCTCTCCTCGCCTACGCCCTTCACATCCAACTCTTTCTTCTGGCCACAACGGTTCGTCTTTTCTTGGTGAGTATCAGGTGCTGTGGTCCCGTGCGTTTCCGCTGCATTTTGCTTCACCTCTGGCTCTGCTGGCAGTTTCTCCGAAATGTCGTTGCCCTTCTCAGGCAGCATCTCAGGAAACTCTGTTTTGTGCCCTTCATTGGCGAATTGGACCTCTTTTGGTCTACTGTCAGTTTTAACCATTCCTTCGGAACTCTTCCGGGTTTCCTTCTCCAACTCCTTTGCTTCCTTGGTTCCTTCGCCTCCCACTTCCTCTGTTGTTCCTTCGAGCGGGTTCACGGCCCAAGAATTGTTTCCTTTTCCTCCAATCGCTGCAGCTCCGACTGGCTCTTCGGTTCTATTGTCGACTTCCGTATGGGTGCTGTCCGAGATGGTATTTCCTGGTGGTGATGACTCTTTCGAGCCAGCATTCGCGTCTCGGAAAGAAACTTGCTGTCCCATGCCCCCTTTTTGGCATGATTCCTCCCTCGAACCCATCTGGGCCTGGATGATGCTCGCAGCAATCCTACCCTCAGGCGTATCTAGGAGATCCACGCCCCTGTCTGGGCTTGGGGTCGAGGTCGACGTTGCCGGCGTTTCCCTCTTCTCCATGGTCGAATTCGGGGCCGTTGCCACATCGGATTCCATAAATCCCGTCTTATCGGCAACAGGCGTCTCGTCGAGGGGCATGCCATCAGGTCCCACGTCGCTGTACGATGAAGGTATGTCCCGATTCGCTGCCCAAGCAGCAATGTTGTACAAACCTCGCGGGGCGTCGCATCCGTCATAGTTGCTCGGCAGGGGACTTGGGGGTGATCGTCCACGTGTGTAGTAGTACGGCTCGTATCCCGTGGGGCTTGCGTCTGTGTATGGCCGGCTCACGTAGGACCAGTCGCTGGGTGGCTCAACCGTCTTAATCTGCGGAAGGCTGTCTGGGTGGTACCCGTCAACGAGATACTGCTGCAACGTGTAACCTTCGTCAATTGTCGATTGCGGGGGGTTCAACTGTCCGCATTCTTCCCCATCCCCTGGTCGTGGGAACATGTGCAAAAGAGCAGACGCCTGGAGCCGCATTTTCGGATCATCACTCAAGCAAATCTCTGCCATTTGCCGGTACCAATCTGGGATGTTCACCTCGGGACCAAGTATCAACGGTCGCCCCTGTGATTCTGGTTCATCCTCCTGTGTTGCCAGAGCCCACAACACCATGCCAAGCTGGTAGAGATCCGACTTGACACCAATGTACATAGTAATCCGCTGGTTGCTCTCAATGAGCGGCGTGGCTTCCGGGGGTTCCCATCCGACTGGGCACCCTCTCCTGTTGATGTCAATGATCTTCGCATCGCCGTCCTCGTCAATGACAATGTTGGACAGCGTGAAGTCGCCTTGTACGAATCCTGACTCGTGGATGTCGGACAACCCTTCAACAATTTGCCGAGCCCATCTTTCGCGTGTTGACCACGGAAGGTCGTAATCGCCGTCTTTGCAGTGCTCGTAAATGATGTCAATGAGGGCTCCTTGGTCGGCGTAGTTGATGAGAAGTCCCTTTACGTGCTCATCGTGATCGTCCACTACGACACCATAGAAATGGATGACGTTGCGCGAATGGCGGAGGCGGTTGAGAGCGTTGACTTCATACAAAAACTCATCTATCGTGTCAGGGCTCGGGATTTCCTTCTTGATCAAGGTATGACCATTAACATTGACTTTATAAACGAAGCCCGACATGTGCGAGTCAAAGACGATATCCTTTTCCCGAATACGCCTGCAACCAAGGTGCTTGATCTGAGCAACAGTCGGGTATTGGATAATTTCCTATCGGCAGTTAGCATTGTTTGGGGAATGTCTCGAGATGCACCAACATTGCCATCCTCAACCACATGAACATGAAGTCTCCCATCAGTCGTCTGAAGTTTCAGATTGGTCACAGTGTCGTAGAATTGAATGTCTCGTAGGCTCTCCCGGATAGCCTCGTAAATTTTGGCGCTCTTGTCTCGTTGGTAGTGAGTGTGAATGAGGTCCATCTCCAGTGAGTTTGGAGGGGCATCTCGGTAATCGAGGGAGATGGTTACACGCCGCCAAATATGTTCCTGCTCCCGATATGTGACAAAGAACTTTTCCCTTCTTGAACGATCCCGGAAGTGCATGCTAAGATTTAATATCCAGGTCTTCTCGAGCTCCTCGCGAATCAGAGCTTCATACTGGGATGCCGTTATCGAATGGGTGTCAGCCGTTGAGAGATTGTCTTGGATGGCACACTCGTCGGCCAGTGTAGCCTCGTCATCCCTGTGCACAACTGATTGAACCGGCTCCTGGATTGGCGCATCTGCAACAGGACTGGATGGTAAGGAAGGTACAAAACGAGGTACATCGTCCTGCGGGGAGCCGAGGAAGCTTGGGGCGCTGACCCGGGGATTAGTCGCTGGCTGTGAGGTTGATGACGTTCGGGGTCCATGAGACCGACGGTCCATGGACACAGCTCTCCTCTCATCTGGCGTTGGTTCGATAGGGGACAGGTTTGTCCTCCGCTCCGACACTTGGCGCTTGAACGTCTGGGCACGGGGAAGACCCGGCACGACCCTCCGGGACATTCGGCGAATCAGGCCGCCCTTGTCCGAGTCGGCCGAGTCGTTCTCAGGCGCGGGACCGGCAGCCCGCTCTGTCGGCGGCGAGGGGGCCTTGTTGCTACTCTGCCGACCAAAGAGTTTGCGAAAAAAGTTGTGAGTCCCGGACAGCGCAGATGGCTGGGAATGGGGCGGCGGCGGCTGAGACGCTACAACGCCCGCCTGTGCCATGGCCGCGACAATGCGACCAGATGTCTGTTGCTGAGCTCGAGGTGCAAGTGACTGTCAACACCGAAATGTTATAGTCGAGGCTAATAAGTCAGCTCGGTGTTGGTATGAGCTAGTGGGCTGACGGCTGGCTCTGTGGCAAAAAGTAGGAGTCTGGAATAGGACAGTTGGAGCAGATGCATGTGCCACGAATGCCTTCGTATCGTCGTCGTAAAGCGGATTCTATGTGGGAAGGCGAATATGGGGATAGTTGGTATGGAGTTGCAAGAGGGTAAAAAACTGGCATGTATGCCGTCCAGCAAGAGATGATGAGACGAAAGGTGCACTGACGAGAGCTGGAGAGGCCGCACGGCCCCGTCAATCAAAGAAGCGGTCTCTCGGTGAGAGGAGTAGAGTAAACAAGCTCTGCTTGACCCATCCAAGGGCAAGCGAAGGTAAAACAATTGCTTGGTCGGCACTGTCACCGCGACTAGGAGGCTGGGATGATACAACGGTCGGTGAGAAGCGGGTCCTCTGGATGAGCGGTCGAAGTCGCGGGGAGCGAAGCCGGAGGCGCAATGAGGTGTTAGAATGGCTGTGGGGGCATGGGTGAAATAAGAATCCGTGATGATCTAGGACGGCTCCTACACGGGGTGTAAGTGAAGGGTGCCCGTGACAGCAAGACGCCTTGAGAAACAGAGGTTGATGAGTTGCGATGAAAGCCCTGCTATATTAAAACGACCACGACAGAGAGTCCAGCACCTAAAACGGGCGCCGGCGGCGGCAAGGAGTGGATGTGGGAAGCTGTGACTGGACGTGAGCTTTGGTGGGCTGAGTGGGTTAGTGCGGGTTGGTGGGCTTCAAGTGCGGCGGGAGGACACGGGCGGAGCGGCGGAGGCGCTGGGCTTTTGACCTTGGGCCTTCATTTTCTGGGTCCGTTTGGCAGCCCGAGCCACACTGAGAAGGTAGGATTGCCCTAGAACGCCCTGATGACGGTCTGGTCGGACCGCCCTGCTCAAGGGGCTGGGTCCTGAGAAGTCTCTGGGCGCGGTGCTCACTGGCCAGCAAAGCCACCACTGTCCAGGTGTCAGCGCAGGGCTGTGGCCATCCATTGTCCTTCCATTGCCCCAGACTTGCCGAGGACCGTCAGGGGTCTTTGCTTGACTGAACGACATCTCTGGATGTTTTTGGGCCTGGGTGTCGAGACCTTGATCCATCCATCCCACCATGCCGGATCTTCCATGCTTCATGGCCAGCCAAAGGACCCTGCCAGTCTGCCGCCTGTCGTCTGTCGCATGTCGGCCATGGTCTGCCTGCGGCTGCAGGAGTCATACTTCCAAGAGAGACGGTGACGCTCGACGGCTCGCTGGTGGGGAACAATCGATGAGTTGGCCCCTTTCAGATGCCCTGGTCTCGTCCCATTTCGTCGACGCTAAGACGTTTTGCTGAGCGCAGGGGGAAGCGGTGATGCATCATCATCAGGCAGACTTTGGTCGGGCACAAAGAGGCATGAAGATGGTTGGCGTTGATTTTGGGGGTTGGATGTAGGAGGAAGATGCAAGAAAGGGCGCGACTATCTGCGAGCGGGTGGTTGACATCGAGGTCTTTGTCAGGGGATGGGGGAAAGTGCAATTGTATCATACCTTCCTCAAACCTCCAGCTATCTACCCAAGGCTAGCAGGTATCGTCGGCAGGTACCTACCTACAGCCGGGAGTGAGGCAGACAAGGAAGGTACAAGCCAAGAGCAGCATCACGAATTGGAAGCTGCAACCGTCTGCATCGCGACTTCCTGCCTACAGTACCTTACCTGCCGAGTTGCCTTGCAATCACATCTGCCCACAATGCCGTGTACAATCATCATCGCCATCTGTTCAACATCTACTCCCTACACCAACAGCCCCAGACTCGTCATCCACACAACACATTCGATCGAACATCTAGGCCCGCTTCAACAAAGAGGGTGGACATGCCATCAGCCAAAGACAGCGCAGAACATGGAGGAAATCCCACGCAGCCGGTACCGCGGGGACCGAAAAATCAGGGACGTCCTGTGCGTCTTTTTGCCGGGCCAGGGCATGTCATCCTGGCTCCAGCTGCTGACCTCCATCAAGGCTCGAACCATAGGGCGATCTGATCGCTTTGCAGGGCCAGGCCGACTGCATACGCAAGTGACAACGCCATCTAGTTGGGCATCTCACTCACACTCGCTTACCGCCCAACCCGATAACTGGGCACCTAGTTTCACACCTGTCCAGTTGAGACTCTAAACGATTCGAATATGAGGCGAGCAGATTCAAAGGCCAGGTCCGAGTTTTTAAGGCCAATCGAGCATCGACTGACTGTCGTCTGCCGACATTACACACGCAACTGCCAAACATGCATGCTGCATACGGGTGAGGACGGCCGTTATGAAGGGCACTGCATACTGTGTATCCGACGTCACGGATCAATGACCAAAGGCGTCGAACAGGAGAGGATGCTCATGTGTTCCAATTGACCATGTTTACTCGGCGTGGCGGTGAATTCTCCGATGATAAGGTGGTCGCGATTACAACACAACCCACATCTTGAGTTGTCAACTCGGATATGCCTCAATCAACCCTCGAGTGCCTCTCAGAAACTAGAAGCTGGCAACTCCCGGGGCAGACGTCACGTTACCCCTGTTTGCCTGTCCAGAAGCCGCCTGATTCGCCAATTGCGCCGTCACGGCCTCCTCGGTGCCCAATGCGACTTCGTCTTGACCAATTCAATGGTTCAAGCAACACAGCTGTTCAAACATGTGCACACCACCAAGCACATCTCTCGATGGGGAAATATCTACAGCTTGTGTTGGGCTCTAATGGCCCGTCTGCTAGCCCTCTTTCCTCTCATCTCAGCTCCCGTCAAGCCTGTCACGTCACACAGTACAGGAGGCATTCTTTGCTTCCGCGAACAGACTCTGCGGCTGCGGCCTGTGGTGAGGCCTGGTCCACACCCAAGCTCACTCCCAAGATCAAGGCCATCAAGGGGAAACGTGTGGGGTCAGGCATAAGTGCAGCATTCGCCATGGCCCGCTAAGGAGCGTGAGACTGGCTCTAGTGAGGCTGCCTGGGCTTGACAGGTTGTCGGTTCGCCATGCAAGCAATGGGTCTGCATCTCACTCCTTGTTACGAACTGGCTTCCAGACCGCTGAACCGGGCCTCTATTGGGTACGGCCTTCCCTTGCCTTGGACCATTGTCGCATACCAGCGGGGCTGGATTTGAGCCGCCTAACCTTGTGCCTCTCTCATTTCTCCGAGTCGCTTGTAAGCATCTCGTGGAAGAATGTCGTGAGACGTCATGAAAGGACACGACCATGCAGCATGCGCAGCTTCAGCAGACAAACAGCATCTTATCCTCAGCCAGCCAGTTCCCGACCTCGCTAGGCTCGTCCCGCGCTTGACCCCACCGATCCCGCGCCGTCAGTGACGGGATCTCCAAAAGCCTTGGCTAGGGGCCAGGATCAGGTCGCTGGGGAACCATTAGGGACATCCGAGGCAGATGGCTTAAACGTTAAAGGGCGTTTGGCTTCCGTCCGGCGGCGGTCAATTGGGCAATGCACCAGCACCCAGCCGTCTCAAGTTCCCTGCCGAGATCCGGCCTGACATTGGTTACGCCTTCGGGCTGCAACCACATTGCGGGCCTCGGAAATTTTGCCTGCCAGAGAAGGATTGTCATCACGTTCTTCTCCACGGGATCAAAGACCATGTCGTCATTACTGATTTAGGGGATGACGATGATTGAAGTCAGAAGTAAAGAGAGAAGACCTCTCCATTCTCCACAAGACTTGCCAATCCCAAACTCGCTGACAACAACTCACAATATGCCCAATGAGGGGATTCAGGTAAACAGTATGACGTCGCTTTTCCTATATGTACAATTGCACATGGAGGCGTCGCCCACGTGCTGGCATTTGCTCATCAGCTGCTTGTCTCCAAAACCCGCTGTTGCATGCTTCTAAAAGTACAAAAGTCCACAGACTGGTAATAACAGAGTAGGAGTCTTTATATCGTTTCCATCTAAGATTCTTGCCCCCCGGTGCCCAAACGCCCCTCAAATCATGCATAATTCCTACATTGATGCCATGCTTTGCGCCCCCGTGTCCATGACATGTTCTTCACCTCGCCGTTTTTTTCGGCGTCTAGTCTTCCTCCTCGGCGGACTCGGGCTTGTCCTTCTTCTGCTGCTCCTCCCACTCGCGGATCTTGCACTTGTTGGCCTGCTCGCGGTCAATGTCGGGGAAGACGAGGTTGAAGACCTCGGGGTACCAGGCCACGGGATGGCCTTGAAGACCCTCCTTGATGTTCTGTTGAGAGTTGTTAGCCAGGGGTCAAAATTATAGTAGAAACATAGCGTAGACGTACCTCAGGCAGCTCCAGCCAGTCAGACATGTTGTCCTTGGGGAAGATGATGGTCTTGCAGCCAGCGCGACGAGCGGCAACAGTCTTCTCACGAAGACCACCGATACGCAGCACCTTGCCAGTAAGTGTAAGCTCACCAGTCATGGCGACAGTCGGATCAACAGGGGTGTCGAGAGCGAGGGACAGGAGCGAAGTAGCCATGGTGATACCAGCCGAAGGACCATCCTTGGAAACGGCACCGTCGGGAACGTGAAGATGCATCTTGGCCTTGTCGAAGAAGTGGTTGTCGGGGAACTCCTTGACCATGAAAGCCTTGGCGAAGGAGTAGGCGATTGTGGTGGACTCCTTCATGACGTTCTTGAGGTTACCCGTGATCTCGAGGTGCGGCCGGGTCTCTGGTCGGAGGGGAGCCTGCAGGATCGACTCAATGTACATGGCAGCGCCACCAAGCTGTGTCCAGGCGAGACCCATAGATACACCAGGGGGGCTGACGTCGTACAGACGATCCGAGGTGAAGACGGGAGGGCCAACGTAGTCATTGAGGTTGTCCTTGCCGATGACGACGTGGACCGAGTCGGGAACCCGGAGAGGCTTGCGGGGCTTCTCCGTGGCCTTGCCAGTCTCGCCAGACTCTGAAGAGCTCTCCACGTCTGACTCCTTGCCTGTGCTGGCCGCCTCCTCCTTCTTCTTCTCGGCCTCCTCTAGAGCAGACTTGCCCTCCTCAGTCAGGGCGTCCTCCTCTGGGAGAACCTCCTCGCCGAGCTCTTGGACAATCTTGAGGGCAGACTTTCGGTAAACCTTTTCGATCTGCTTCTTGAGGTTTCGAACTCCCGACTCGCGGCAGTACGACTTAATCAGCTCCTCAATGGCCTCCTCACTCAGGATGACGTCGGCATTCTGAAGTCCGGCGGTTTCCTTAGCAGCGGGTGCGAGGTACCGTTGGGCGATAGCCATCTTCTCATCAGCAACGTAGCCCGAGAGGGTGATGATCTCCATTCTGTCGAGTAGAGGTCGGGGGATGGTGTCGGTCATGTTGGCTGTGCACACGAACAAGACCTTGGACAGGTCGACGGGCACATCCATGTAGTGATCCAAGAAAGAGCTGTTCTGCTCAGGGTCCAGCAGCTCCAGCAGCGCAGATGAGGGGTCGCCCTGGTATCCTCGGCCAATCTTGTCAATCTCATCGATCAGGATAAGAGGGTTCTCAGTCTGACACTTCTTCAAAGCCTGGATCATACGACCGGGAAGGGCACCGACGTAGGTCCTTCGGTGACCCTTGATCTCAGCAACATCGGTAAGACCTCCGACACTGAATCGGTAATACTCTCGGTTGAGGGCTCGCGCGATCGACTTTCCGATACTGGTCTTGCCCACTCCGGGGGGTCCGACGAAGCAGAGGATCTTACCCTCGACAGTGCCTCGAAGCTTTCCAACCGCGATGAACTCGAGGATACGGTCCTTGACATCCTTGAGACCGTGGTGATCCTCATCCAGGATCTTCACGGCGTTGGGGATGCCAAAGTTCTCGGCGCTCCTCCGACCCCAGGGGATCTGTGTGAGCCAATCCAGGTAGTTCCTCGTCACGTTGAACTCGGAAGCAGCAGTCTCAAGATGGGCAAGCTTGTTAAGCTCCTCGTCAAAGACCTTGCGCACGGCATCGGGCATGGCGAGCTTGTTGGCCTTCTCCTTGAACTTCTCGACCAGCTTGTCCTTGCCGTCCGACTCGAGGCCGAGCTCGCGACGGATACCCTTCATTTGCTCCATAAGCCAGTATTCGCGCTGCCTCTTGCTGATCTTGTTCTCCACATCCTTACTGATCTTGGACTGCAGCTGGGCATTCATGAGCTCCTTCTTTAGCACCACCAGGGCCTTCTGCATCCTCTCCTCCACGTTGAGACATCCCAGAACCTCCTGTAGCTCCTTCTGCTCGCCCGACGACACGGCGGCGGCAAAGTCGGCAAGCTTGGCGGGCTCTGATGTCACGTTTCCGGTGGACTGGCTCATAGAAAAGGTCGAGATTTGGTCACGGAAGAGGTTGTTCATTGTGGCCACCTCCTTGAAGACGTTGACAATCTCGTTGGTGACGGCGCGGATAACAGGGCTCTTGGGGTCGTATGGCTCATCAACAAGGTTCTCGACGTTGACCAGGCTGACGGGGTATCTCTTGAGGAACGAGGTTGGCTCGTACTTCTCTGCGGTTTGGTCGGGCTTCTTCTCCACGGCACTCTCCTCGAAGCTGGCGACGACATCACCCTTCTTCTCTTGCGTAGCCTCCTCCTCGGCGGGCTTCTGGGGAATGGGTTCGGGTGTAGGCTCGGTCTTGGAATCGGTCTTCTTGGCAGCATCTTGGCCACCGGGAGGAAGCAAGCTAGATAATCGGATACGTCGATGGGGGTAGAGGATGGCAGTCAGAGCCCCCTCTTGGCCGTGGATGGGAAATGCACTTGTAATCTGGGCAAAGACACCCACGTCGTAGACATCATCAGGGTTTCGGATGACATCCTCGTCCTCGTTCTCGTCCTTGAACAAGAAGGCGCCGACATAGGGCTGACCACGCTTGATGGACTCAGTGATTGCGTTGGCCACATCGGGATCCTTGATGGTAATCGCCTTATAGAAACCAGGGAAGAGCGGTCGCCGGGCAATGGGGATGGCCAGGACCTGGGGGTAGACCTCGGGGACCACAGGCTTCTGGAGGGCCTTCTCGGCGGACGACTTTCGACCGCGTCGGCCTCCGTCACCGCCGTCGCTCCCGGAACCAGATCCTGCAGAACCTCCAGCCGCACTCCCGGCCTTTCCGTCTGGTGATTGACCTCCGGCGTCATTCTTGCCAGAGGCGGGTGAGTCGGGCCCTGGGTTTCTCGATTCGGCCGAAAGCTTGTCCTCGGCGTCCTTCCGCTTGTTCTCCAGGTTCGCCTGAGCCTCCTCCTCAGACAACGGCTCGGTCAATGGCTCTATGGCGGACTCGAAAAATCCCTTGTCGTTGCTGTCCTTCTCCTTCCCGAGGCGTGCGGCCGTAGAGAAGGCGGCGGAGGCTAACCGCGGCTGAATGGCGGGCAGCCGGCGAGCGCAGATGTGACGGTTTAGGTAGGCGGGTGAAGAGGTCCATCGAGCGGCGATGGCTACGGAAGAGACTCGGGATGCATGGGCGGCAGAGCGCTCGAGGATGAGGCGGCCAGAGAGGCGTGAACGCGGGATCATGTTGGGCGTGGTCTAGGCAGACGAGCGAGGACGGAGCTGGAGATGATTAGAAGCTAAGAGCCCCGCGATGGGCCGTTGGTTGGAGGGGGGGAACAGGGCAATTAAGAAGGGGAAGAATTATGAGATGAAGGAGAGAAAGAGGATTGAGAAGAGGTTCTATCAAGGGTGACAAGTAGAGGTTCTGTTGGCCGCAATTGTGCGCATCGCCGCTTCGGCTTGGCTCAAGTTGTGGTGGAGGCGACTTAATAATGTCTTATGGCGACGTCGGACTTAACGTCGACATCATCCAAAATTTCGAGTCGAATCGAACAGAACCATGAGCTTCCATCGGGAGAATATCGGATGCCGAAGCTGTTTGCCCACTTGCCCACTTCGTCGGCCAATCTCGGCTTTTGATGGCGGATTTCTTATCAGATTGTGATATTCAGTTACCGGTGCTCACGTGCCGTTAGTGAGGATAGAACCAAGATGTAGATGGAGTAAGTACCTTTATGGTAGATTTATTTATTATGGTGGCTAGTAGTGAGGTTTCTTTCGTGATTGTCAAGTATGTCATGTTGGAGCATCACTCTCGGTCTGACCTCGATATGACTCAACCTGCCTCGTCATGTGAATAAGACCATGCTCGAGATGGGCAATCTTCTTTTCTGTCTCCATGTTATTGTTTACATCAAATAAAGGCCTGGCTGTAATTTGGGGCTTTCTTTGTTTCCTTTTTAAGATAATGATCTCAGGTTGCGCGTATTATTATTTAAAGTCGCATTTTATGAGCTGCAAAAGAGTCAACGTTATTGTATTCAACACGCAATTGAAGGCCATTTCCCTAGAAAGATCACAAACCACTTTACAAAGGCCCAATGAATCACATAGGAACAGAGGGACTAGAAAAACATAAAGAATTCAAGACAGATAGCATGTATTCCAAAAGTAAACGAGACAGGAAGGAAAGACGCTGCCATCACCATCATGACTACCCTACACCTTCTCCGCAAACTCAATTCAGGCATCATTTTCTCATCTTCAAGCCCGAACACTGAACTGCCATCATCAATAACAGCCGTCCAAACTCGCATGCTCCAATCTCTATTATACTCAGACTTACATAAACATCGCAACGTCGACGTCTTTCTCGCAGCAACCCGCCATCATGTCTGACGACGCTGACGTTTCGGCCTCCATCAACAAGCTCTCCATCACAAGCAACAAAGAATCAACTCAAACCAAAAAACCCGCACCAAAAAAAAAGGCCAAGAAAGTCGTGGCAGACTCATGGGAGGATGAAGACGTCTCCGAGTCTGAACCTGAAGCAGAGTCTGACAAGGCTGATGAGCTGACGCCCAGCGCAACGCCTGCACCACCACCTCCCACTCCCATGTCACCCGTTGGAGGGTCGACGTGGACGCCTCCAGAGGATGCACCTGGACCTCGAGCCGCCGGAGAATCAGCCAAGCGGCCCGAGAAGACGGACGCTGTGGCCCGGCGCATGATCGCTGCCGGACTGGGCCTCAAGGCGCCCAAGCAGACCGAGGAGCAGCGGGCGTACCAGAAGAGTATCCGTGAGCAGGAGAAGAAGAAGCGGGAGCAGGAGCGCGAGCAGGAAAAGAAGCGACAAGAGGAGGCTGACAAGGCAAAGGCCGCTATTTGGGATGACTAGGCGAGGCTGGCCCTAGACAAACATCACATAGACATGATTGGGATATGAGAATAGCATTGGTCGAAACACGATTCCTCGGCAACTCAATCTCCGCAACCCTGCTCCACGACAAGAATACAGTCTCCTGATGCTCAAAGCTGCTTACAATATTGCTGAATAATTTCGGAGACATTTCGACCTTGAGACGGCTTAATCTCCCAGCGTGCCGCGGGCCTTGCTCCAACCTCTCCTCGCCAAAGTCGAAGCGTATCGCCAGATTGGGACAGGTAACCAATTGGCGGCTCAAGAATCTCCTCCACAACTCCTCCTTAGTCAGTACACGCGCGGCTACACCTACACGCTTCATGTATCCTCCCTGGGGGTCTATATAAGGCTGATTGAGATCGGGGATGATTGTGCCGATTGAAAGAGGGTTGGACGATCTTCTCACTTCATCTTGATGCGGAGTTGCGGGTCTTGGTGTTGATGATTATGAATCGTCCATGGATGCTTTCAAAGAACGGGATTAAGACACGGAGTTGAGGCTGTAGGGACGGGTTTCAGAGAAGCTGAAAGGACATGAAACAGATGTAGTTGATGTATTTAAGACTGCTTGGGTTGTGGGAGAAGGGAGAGGAGCATCACCAGACAACTTAGCAACTAAACAACCAGAACCAGCTGACTACCATACTTCCCATATCAAGCAACGAAAACAACCACCATGCCTGACCTCAAGCCCATCACCGTCTATGTCCATGGTTAGCCTTCAGCACCTCCCCTACGTTGCAGCTCTAACACTACACAGGCAAGGGACCCAACCCCAAGAAGGTCACCATCCTCCTCGAGGAGCTAGGCATCCCCTACACAGCTGTATGTACACTCTCGCAACATTCTACTCTTACATACTGACATGACTTGACAGGTCGAAACTCCCAACCCCAAGGCTGAGTCGTTTGTCAAGATCAACCCCAATGGCCGAGTCCCCGCCATCGAGGACCCAAACACTGGCATCACCATCTGGGAGTCTGGCGCCATTCTCGAGTACCTAATCGAAAAGTACGACAAGGACCACAAGTTTTCATTCGACACCGAACCCGAGAAGTGGTACCTGAAGCAGTATCTACACTTCCAAATGTCTGGACAGGGCCCTTACTACGGCCAGGTATGTAGCAGATACCCTGTATGAGAACTCACGACTGACAGGGAATGAGACCTTTTGGTTCCATTTCTTCCACAAGGAGCAAGTCGAGTCGGCCAAGGAGCGCTACGAAGAACAGATGGTCCGCGTTGTCGAGGTTCTGAACAATATCCTCGAGGGCAAGGAGTATCTCGTCGGCAACAAGTAGTGAGTCCCCAACAATGACATTTCCCCTGACGGAGCAAATACTGAACTCTGCAAAAGTACTTATGCCGATATCGCCTTTATCCCCTGGAACACGGCTGTCCCTGTCGTCGGTGATGTGTGGAAGAAGTTTGATATTGAGAACAAGTACCCCAACTTCATTGCATGGCACAATCGCCTCTTGGCCAGACCTGCTGTGGCCAAGATCCTGACTCCTCCAACTGAGGAGAAGTAATCATGGTAAAGAGGTTAGACTGTTGGGGGTGTATTGGGTATCTGGAAGCTAGTGTGTAGTAATATGGATGTATCACTCACGATGAATATCAAGTTGTTTAGAATATCAGCCTCCTATCTCGTGTCCCTTGGCTGGGCCGTGTAACTCTCCTCTAACTCTCCACGTCACAAAGGAATTTCAACGCAGGCGTTTATCTGGCACTTTCGTATCACAATCTGAGCACCGTCAAGGACAGAGATACTTCATTCGTGGAGCAATCGCGGACATGCCGCAGGTATCATTGTCATTTCTCAATCTCAAGTTGCCGTTCGGCGATGCTCTCAACTTTTCGTCTCCGCTCGCTAGCAAATTGCTTCGTTTGTCGCGATGTCCTTTGGTCCCAGGACAAGTCGCCGTGGAGCGAGTAAACCAGTTGCCAACCATGATTGCCGGCATGATGCCATCATGCCGACTACCTATATATGTCGGCCCAAACAATCCTCTCCCGTCTTTGACTCCGTGTATGGTCATTGCCTTCAAATAGGCAGACTTTTGATGTTTCTTGTTTTCGTTGACATTGGTATCTTTCTCCCCAAACATCCATCCCATCATGTCCCAAAACATCCTTTCCTTCTCATTCGGCAACCAGGGGTATTCTTCGTTTTTTTGTCTTCAGCTTTTCGTTGCATGACTGGGTATAATGAGCGGGCGTCAAGTCATCAAAAGAGAACCCCCGATTCCGATAACCAAAAGAAAAAAAAAGCAGATAAATAAATGCAGCAAAACCAAAAACCAGTAACAGAGCACTCAGACACAGTCGAGCAAAACAAAACATGACAAGACGTAAACCGACCGATGCACAAGTCGACGTTCCAGGGTATTTTACGCCAGGGTATATCCAGCCGGGGTATTTGCATGTAGAGGTTCTAACACGGGGGAATCTAACGGAAAGGCCCAATAGGGGCGGGGTATCCTGAATTCATAGAATGAGATGTGGAAGGGCGCCCGCTGTCGCCGGACGCGCGGGTGCTGTGGCGAGGCGTGATGTCGCCGGGCTGAGGAATCGACAGCTTGTTGTCGATGTGGGTGCTGTAGGGTCGTGGCGCCCACGGGTTGTCGTCGTCTGGAAGGTTCACGCCGCTGTCGTTCCAGGGGTTTCGATCAGCGTTGAAGCTGCGGGTTGACTCGATCGAGATGAGCGAAGACTTGGACACGTTGCTGGAGCCCTTGAAGAAGTTGTTGGCCGAGTGTGAGCTGTTCTTTCTGCGATCCAAGAAGGAAGAGATCGACGTCATGCTGCCGGGCTTTCGGAGACGGTCGAGGATGCTGCTTCGTTCGCGGGCGACGTCATCACCGAAGCCAGCCTTGACGGGGGAGTCAGTAGCAACAGGGGCCGGAGCATGCTGAAGAAGCTTAGAGTCAAAGTACTGCAGAGAGTCCTCGAATGAGTCCGACTTGGGACGAGGGAGAGCGCCCTTAACGATGTTCACCTCAGCCCCAGAAGTCGCGAACTGCGATTGGATAAAGTCCATGGCATCGCGGAGACCACCAGCATTGTTGCGGGTAAAACCCCAAAGCAAAGTGACTGTAGGAGATCCATCCTCAGTGAGCTCATCAGGGTTCTGGTGAATGGTAAGCTCAACCTCGTGTTGGCTCTTCAGCTTGGGCACAAGGTCATGGGCAAACTCGGGAGACTCGAGAAACTTGATCAGCTCAGGACTTCTGGCAAGAATGAGTTCATGCTTGTCAGGCACCATGCCCAAGAACTCGTCAACGCAGTGGGGGACCTGCCACTGAGGGCCATTCACGGT